AACCAACAATATCCCATGGCCTTAAAACATATGTTCATTTATACTCCATCTTGTTCCAAGAGGGATTGGAGTGAGCTACAGTATGCCTGTCATACAGTGAAGTGACATTAAAGCACAAAAGAAATCAAAAGTAAAGCCACCAGTCAGCCACAGATTTGACACAAAGCTTCCTAGTAGCCAAAATAAAGAGGAAAGCCAAAACTGAACAAAATTCACAAAAACTGTAAGACAAAAAAATCAGATCAGTTAAAAATTGGACTGCAGGGCTGGGGTTGTGTTTCAGTGGTACAGCACTAAAAACCTTTACACTACAAATGGTACTGTCAAGAAAGTGAAAAGACAGGGGCTGGGGATGTGGCTCAAGCGGTAGCGCGCTCGCCTGGTATGCGTGCGACCCGGGTTCGATCCTCAGCACCACATACCAACAAAGATGTTGTGTCCGCCAAGAACTGAAAAATAAATATTAAAAAAATTCTCTCTCTCTCTCTCTCCTCTCTCACTCTCTCTTAAAAAAAAAAAAAAAGAAAGTGAAAAGACAACTCACAGAATGTGTGAAAGTGTTTACTAAAGTATCTCATAAGGGACTGATATCTAGAAATGATAAAAACCTTTTACAATTGAATGATGAAAAAAGGCATCACAACTTAAAAAATGGATAAAGAATTTGAATTGACGTTTTTCCAAAGAAAATGTACAAATGGCACATGAAAAGATTTTTGACATCAGTAGACATTCAGGAAATGCAAATCAAAACCACAACGAAATACCACTTCACAGTCACTCCGATGGGTACAGTTAAAAAAAAAAAAAAAAGTGTTGATGAGGGCTGGGAGGAGCTCAGTGGTAGAATGTTTGCTTAGCATGTACAAAGCCCTGGGTTCCATTCCCAGCACTGAAAAGAAACAAACAAACAAAAAAAAAAAGGTGAGATTCTGGAGAAATTGAGTCCCTGGTACACTGCTAGTAGGACACAAAATGCTGCAGCTTATTTGGAGAAAACACTCTGGAAGTTCCTCAAATAAACAGAGTTACTATATGATCCAGAAATTCCAGTCCTAGTTATTTTGTTCTATCCCCCAAGAAATGAAATACATCCTCACAAAAACTTACTTGCAAATGTTCATAAGTGGCATTCTTCATAATAGTCCAAATGTGGATACAACCCAAATGTCCGTCAACTGCATGAGCATTGTTGTGTGTGTGTGTGTGTGTGTGTGTGTGTGTATGCTATTTAGCATAAAAAAGAATGAAATACAGATACATGTTTCCACATTCATGAACCTTGAAAACACTGCCAGGTGAAAGAAGTCAGTCACCTGAGTCAGCATATAATATGATTTCACTACATGAAACATGCAGAAAGGCAAATAGATACAGAAAATAGATGAGTGGTTGATGAGGGTTAAGGGAAAGAGAGGTAAGGGAGGAAAATGGGAAGTGACTGAAGATGAGTAGGATTTTTGGGGAGAGGGGTGATGAAAATGTTTGAAAGAAATTACAACCCTAGATATCTTAAAATTATTGGCTTACACACTTTAAACAAGTGAATTTTATGGTATATGAATTTTATTTCAGTAAATATGTTAAAGAGAAAAGAGGGTAGTGAGGTGATTCAGTTGGTAGAACTCCTGCCTAGCATGCACAAAGCCCTGGGTTCAATCCCCAGTACCACCAAAAACAAAAAGAACAACAAGATGTTAAAGACAAAAAACTATTGAGTTAGTTTTATATAACTGTTTCTTATACTGTCCCTTAAGATGAGGTGTTGTCTTAATGTCCATATGAAAAGCAATTCTAGGAGAGCGCACAGAGATGTGATACTAGTACACTCTAGTACCATGGAGATTTTTAAACTCTTTTTTAAAGATAGATAGATAAAGAGAGAGAGAGAGAGAGAGAGAGAGAGAGAGAGAGAGAATTTTTTTAATATTTATTTTTCAGTTTTTGGTGGACACAATATCTTTATTTTATTTTATGTGGTGCTGAGGATGGAACCCAGCGCCCTGCGCATGCCAGGCAAGCTCGCTACCGCTTGAGCCACATCCCCAGCCCCAGAGATTTTAAACTCTTAAGTAGACCATACAGTTTTAGGAAAAGCTTATTCTCCCACTCCAAACAGTCATAATCCTGGTGTTCTATTAGAAAGCACTGTCATTTTCTTGTGCAGTTTATTTGTTCTATGGCGATTAGAGAGGGGTGGCATTGTTTGGTGGACAAACAAAGGCATTTGTAAGTTGATTCCATGCACCATTTTTCACTTTGCTGTAGGAAGTCAGCTCTGCAGTTCTGTTTCTCCTCTTGTGGTGACTGTAGAGCCTTAAGAACAGCAAATTTGCTGCTTGTTTTTTTCCCCTGCCCTTGATAAGAAAATTGCTATTGAAGGGAATGATGGGGCTGTCATAGTAAGATCTTGCCACAACCTGTCACCTTGTCATATATTAGATTTTTTTATTGTCTGAAAGAGAAGGCACTGCTTTTTAGATTGCTTCCATTTCAATCACTGAGGGAGGGCCAAGGTAATTTGTCTTCTCTCTTGCACACTGAATAGAAGCCTCTGCCACATCTCTAATCCCAGATTAGATTCTCTAATCCTGAATTTGTATGGGAATTGAATAGTTCTAGGCCTTTGCCAGTTTAGTAGACCATTCTCAGACAAGAAATAACCCCTCACTTCTAACTCATTTTTCTCTCCTTCCAAATGCCAGTCTGTTCTTCAAAGGCCACTCTTTTTTTAACTAAGTAATTAAAAAGGACATTTGGCCCCCACATAAGTCCTTTGAGAGCAAAAAAAGAAAAGTAGTATTAAATAAGTGTTTTCAATGGGACCCAGCAGCTCGTTTAATATCATCTGAGATATAATAAACTAAAACACAGTTGTGATGTTAATTTGTTTGATTCAACAAATAATTTTCATATATGATATGCAGACATAAACCAGCACTGGCTATTTCAGATGAAGAGAACAACGTTCTGATGCCACCAGGAATGTTTACAATCTATAAAATCTCTGGAGACCTCGTATTTCAACCCAGTCTAGTTCCTCTCAGTAAGCCGTGGCTTCTCTGACTAATGGACCTAATCAGGACGGGGTAGGCTGGCAGCCCACCCCTGGGGTGTGTGCTGGCAACAACGCTGTTGGTTTACTCATTCTTTTTCTGTCTTCGTTTTTGCATGCCACTGCTCCTGCCCTCTTACAGCCACAGTAGAAGCGGTAGAGGCCCGGGAAGGTATGGCCGTACTACTCTTGATAGATGTGCTCATGTGTCCGTCTACAACTTTTTAAAAATTTTTTCAACATTATAAAACTTTTATTTATTGTATCATTGGAACTGTAACAATGAGGAAAGGAATAGATAACCCTACCATGTTCGTGTGCCCTGTATTTTTATTCATTTCAATGACGTTCACCTCGGCTAAAGTCCTTGCTGGACTGTGTCAGTGTCATTGCAATGACCTATGCTTAAGCAACTGGTGGTGAGAGGTGAAGAGGTTAATCATATATCCCCTCCACATATAAGAGCCATCCATTTGATTAAGAGACTCAGACAGGCCAGCCTCTTTATCTAATGACACTAAAAGTTATTAAGAACAGAGGCAAAAGTAGGGTAGAATTTAGTTTGATTCATTTCTGAGGTTGCCCTAAGGCACTCAAGCTAAATTATCATTCTTTTGGTGGAGACATATATTAAGTGGATGGAACCTGTTGGAGCTGCTAAACCTGTTATAAATTTGTTTTATTAGATAAAGTGGTTCAAAATGGAAATTCCTTTACTTAATGATAACAAAAGTTGAATCGGAAGGAAAATACCTAGAAGCTGTGTTGATGGTTCTTATATTCAGTTCCCAGTGGTGCAAGATAAAAAGCTATTGTAAACAAAAAGATAGCTCTCTGTTGCTTTTTTGTTTTGTGGTCAATGTGGTATTTGTGCTTGAAGCAATTTCTCTGTTTAATTTGTTTTGTTACCCTAGGGTTGCCATTTTTCTGGCATTGAGCATGTTTCTGGCCCATTAAAAAACTCTTTCTCCAATGTGTTGGGGCTAAGAACTTGTTACTTGTATTCCAGGTCTCCTTCTGCCATGATTATTTGCATTGAGATTTTATGAATATTCATATTGAGATTTTTATGAACATTTCCATTTCTGTTGCCCTTCCTCATGGAAGCAGTAGTTTTAGACAAGACTGGTTCAATCAAATGTTGCCTTTCCCTTCACCAGTTATGTGCTCCCTGGCCACCTTTCAATGTGTTCCTAGGATGTTCTGTGTGCTAAAAATTGTTAAGCTGTTGTTTGCTGCCTAACTGAGCACTCTCCACCCTCTTTCCTGTTTTTCTATAGCCATCAGTGGGTTTTCACTTCAGCACAAAATTCGAAGTTTTGAAGAAGCCCGAGGTCTGGACCGAATTAATGAGCGAATGCCACCCCGAAAAGATGGCACAAAACACGATGGGCCAGTGAACTCAGTATCCCCTGCACGCCCAAACCCCGCACACCAGAGCGACCAAGGGAAGAAACCCCTGTGATGTCAGAGTCCTGCTGCTGCACAGGTGGACCCCAAACTCACGAACAAATCTTATTTATTTATTATTGGAAAATGAAACAAAAACAACTCAAAACAACTTAAACCTGGAGGTGCATTCATAATTCATTCTGCATTTATTCTGTAAGAAAGGTGACAGTTTTATAATTTTTTTTAATTTATGTTAAATATATAAAAAGTACATCTGTTTTGTTTTCCCCTTTTTCCTCCTCAATTTTTAGGAACTAATTTGTTGTCAATACATATGTGAAGTCTTGTGCTATAAAGGGACCTTCCCCTAATAAAAGGGCCTTGGAGACCTCAACCCTGGGTTTCTGACTTGAACTAGACAGCCTTTTCTCTTGTTTTTGGAGGGTCATATCTTTCATTTAAGATTAATAGTTTTTCAAACTTAAGATTCTTATCCTACTATGTAGTGCCATTGGAGAAAGGCCTCTTAGATTTTAGTAGCTAAAACTGCTTCTTTTCTGATAGAAAACATGATTATTCTAGAACTTCTAAGCAAATAACTCTGATTTAGTCAGCTTTTTCAAGGCTGTGACTAAAGACTGGACCAGAACAATTGTACAGAAGAAAAAGTTTATTTGGGGGCTCACGGTTTCAGAGGTCTCAGTCCACAGACAGCAGGCTTCATTCCTCAGAGCTTGAGGTGAGGCAGAACATTCAGTGGCAGAAGAGTGTAGCAAAGGGAAGTGGCTCACATGATGATCAGAAAGCAGAGAGAGACTCCACTGACCAGTATAAATATGTATACTAAAGCCACGCCTTCAGTACCCACCTCTTTCAGCCACACCCTACCAGCCTTCAGTTACCATTCAGTTGATCCCTACCAGGGCATTAATTCACTGAGAAGGTTAAGATTTTCATAACCCCATCATTTGTTCTCTGAATCTTCATGCCCTGTCTCACACGTGAGCTTTTGGGGGACACCTCACATCTAAACCATAATAAACTCAAACACTGTTTTTTAAGGGCCAAGGAGAATGTTTTCCATACCAATGTAGTTTCTTCTTTACTCTCAAATTTTTTTAATGTATTCTACTAAAGCCAAATAAAAAATAATGAGGGATTTTCTTAGAGTTACCTAAAATTTGTCCATCTAACCATAAGCATGATTGGTTTGAACTCCCCTTAGAAGTTTGGAGGGAAAAGATTTTCAAAAAGCTTTAGCTGTTGCCAGATTCTTTCACTTTCATTTGTGAATACCAGGAGATTTACCCCACCTGCAAAGGAAGTCACTTTTCTAAATGTTTTATAAATGCCCTTAGCAGAACCTTCCACAACTAAAAGTATGTATGCGCTTGTAGACCATTGCATCAGCTGTCGCTTCTGCTGTCCCCATCACCCTTTTGTTTTTTAGTGTCAGTAATTCTGCAACTAACTGAGGTAATAGAAACTGAAGATGGCATGGTCCCTTTGTGAACTGAAAGTCTCGCTAAAGGGCACTGGATGAGTGAAGATTTCCTGTCTCCTAGATCTAATTAGAAGATCTGTCTCCTAACTACTAAGTTGTTTCTCCATCTTTCAACACTCATTAGATTGAACTGTATATCAACCTTCATTAGCATATTTTGGAACCCAGAAACAAGTGTTCAGATGTAGTGTTTGACTACTCTTCCCTTGGTTTGTTTTTCATGTCACACCAACTAATGAAGGAAATTTGGGGGGGGGATACTTAAGCCCCCATTTTTGGCTTAGCCTGATCACAGGTACCATGTTGTAGCACTCATTAATGAGCTCTCTAATGAATTTGCATGTCTGGAAATATAATGTGGAAGCATGGAAAATGCAAATTGACAGACTTTCTTAATGTCATCTGGGATGTGGGAGGCTATCATTGGAGCAAGTGTCTCAGACAGCAAGACTTCATGTTGGGAGCCTCAAGAGACTCCACTGACCAGTATAACAAAAACCAGAAAAAATAAATAAATAATTTTTTTAAAAAACATAATTTTTATTAGAAGAATGAAGATTTAATGCATAACAGTTCCCAGTTTGTCTATGATAGAGATCAAAGCATTCTTGGGGATTAGAATCTGTATGCATGAATTGCTCTGTTCATAATAGAAAGATAGAAAGGATATTGTGGACAGGGATGAAGGATCTCCTCTTGTGTTGTGAGTAAAACATGTAAAAGAAGGGAGGGAAAAATCTTGAGTAACTTGTCTTCCCTGATTGCCATTTCTTTATACCCAGAGAGGGAATTAAGCTCTGGTACACCCTTACATCTCCCACCCCCAGGAGTAGCAATCTCTCCTGTGAAGTTCAGCCCACATGACAGATGATGGAGCAGGGAGTCCCTTGCCCCTTTCTCTTTGCGGTGTGGATTGAGGCTGTACAGTCCACAGGTAGAAACCACACTTGAGGCCTCCATCAGCAGCCTATAGCTAAATACTCGCTGCAAATGCTTATGAGCAAAAAATATTTTACCGATTAAAAAGGTTATTATTTAGGAATATGATAATTATCTTCTCAAAAATAAGTGGTATGATGATAAAAGCAAGTTTCTTTGATGGAAATTCACAAAAGGGTATTATTATACTGGTGCCCACAGAGCTGCTGAGGGTCCTAGAGTAGAGAGAAAGTTCTGATTTAAGAAAACATGAGTGTCAGATACAGCACCACCAGCTAGCTCTTAAAAGGAGTTAGGGGCTGGGCACCATGGCACATGCCTGTAATCCCAGTGGCTCTGAGGTGGGGGATTACAAGTTCAAAGCCAGCCTCAGTGATTTAGTGAGGCCCTAAGCAATGTAATGACACCCTGTCTCAAAAAAAAAAAAAAGAGGCTGAGGATGTGTCTCAGTGGGTGAGCACCCCTGGGTTCAATCTCCAGTACCAAAGAAAAAGTGGGGGAAGAGGAAGTTGGAAAATTGTGCTGGATTCTAAAAGTGAAGATACTGATTCTGTTCTATAAAAAACTAGGTGTGTATTTCAACATTTTAGAAAGTCATGTGCTAAGTGTATCCATGTGATACAGATAACAGGAGATTTACTGGTTTAACCCCTCGTACCAAAAATACGTGTGTGTGTGTGTGTGTGTGTGTGTAATGGAATGCTACAGCTTTGATTTTTCCTTACAATCTCAAAATGACATTTTGGTTATGGGTACAGATATTGTTGATTTGCTGGGCTTTTGTCATAAATTTTGATCAGCAAAGTAAATATTTCTTGTCACATACTGATGTATTTGTTAGGCTCTTTGCCTGGGACTCAGTGTCCCACTGTCTGGGATATCCACTTTTTTTCATATCCTTTTACCTGTGTTGACATCACCTTTTCTGGTCTTCTGTGAACAGCTGCCACCCAAGCAGGTTTCTCTCAATGGCAAAGACTTGTTTTCTTATCCTGATACCTTAGGTAGGGTTTCCTGACCCTGCTCAAAATAGTAAGAGAAAGATCTTATTTGTTTGGCCACTGGAATATTTTTATTTAATATCATTAAGGAGCAAGGACAGGATTTCTGAAAATTAGATAGCTTTGGAGCCTTTCAGAATTGACATTATCCCTTAGATCTTCTAAGTGGTTTTAAAACCAAGTTTGAGGCGACTGACCTTTCTGTAGGCAGAAAAAAAAAATTATAACCATCTGAAATACAACTGGGCTTGTTGCTCAGGATCACTGCTCCAGAGTCACTCTAGCCTCAGAAGAGGGAAGACTGAAATCTATTCCCTCAACCCTCCCTTATTTTGTATAAATAGTATAGCTGATCTCTAGATTTTTTTTTCTGTATTGTATCTCTAATTAAAAATACAAGCACTGGGCTGGGACTGTTGGTCAGTGGCAGAGCTCTTGCCACACACGTGTGAGGTACTGGGTTCAATCCTCAGCACCACATAAAAATAAATAAAAAATAAAGGTATTGTGTCCATCTACAACTAAAAAAATATTTTTAAAAATACAAGCACTTCAAAATTAAGTTTGTCCTTACCAACCTGGGTGATCAGTCAGTTAAATTAATTTATGAAGAACTTGCCCCACATTGACTGATCCTAGTTTTCCTTTGTATTTCTCCCCGATCTTTGCATTGAAAATTATTTTCTATCCCATAAAGACTTGTTGAGATGGCATTCTAGAATACCCCATATTTAGTCTAGTTGTTATAGTAACACTGGAATCCAAGTTTCTTTCAAGACATTCAGCTTTCCCTGCCTAGACAGAAAAGAGCAGAGCCCCAGTCATGGGTATGAGGCTCCAGTTTCCTAAGTTATTTGTGGTTATAAACCATGGGTTCCATCTTGTCTGGTACCTGGCCCCATCTTTTCTGAAATCTGCTAGACCTGGAGGAAAAGGCCATCTACAACTGGCTATTCAGAGACTGAGAGGGGTCTGGGTTACGTGGTAGATGGTTCTGAAGCCTGGTGTTGCCATGGACCCTTTGAGCCTTGCTATGATCAGAGGATCAGAGGAAAGCCTCAAGAAAGAGCAGATGTTGCTGGGTGTGGTGTCACCTACCTGTAATCCCAGCTGCTCAGGAGCAGGAAGATCACAAGTTCAAAGCCAGCCTCAGCAAAAGTGAGGCACTAAGCAAGTCAGTGAGACTCTGTCTCTAGATAAAAATACAAAATAGGGCTGGGGATGTGGCTTAGTGGTCAAGTGCCCCTGAGTTCAATCTCTGGTACCCCCCCCCACAAAAAAAAATGGAGATATGTATAGTGGAGAAAGTTGTGTAGCCAAAGGACAGGGTTGTTACTCTTAGTATCTGGGGTGCCAGCAGAGAACCATATTAGAGCTTTGTGCCATTGACTGTGTGAGTGAGAGCCTGTGTTACGCTGGGACTGGGGACCTGCTCTGCCTCTATCCAGCCAAAGTGAATGGGGTCATGTTAGCTGCCTTCATCTATGCAGTCACAAAGGTGAAGATGATCCTGAGCATATACTCCCTCTTGGGAGGCCTTGGCCTCACGCCCTGGCAACCGTGGCAAGACTTGCCAAATAACACCTTTGTCTGAGACGGGTTATGCAGCTTCTCCTCAGTGCCCTCATGACAAGTCAAGGTGGCTTCAGATCAAGAAGCGAGAGCAGGACTCAGCGCATTTCCCTGCACTGCTCTGAAGTAAGGCCGTGCACACTGCCTGCCTGTAAGTTCTGGACCAGGTTCCCTTCATACCCTTGTCACATCTCTCGCCCACCGAGCACCCTTTTTTGCATGTTAAAACGAAGCACAAGTAACAAGGCAGCCATAGGTTTTTGATTTGGGGCAATAAAGCCATGCTTTTTCTGTCACAGAATCTTTTGAAGAGGCCATAGTGGATACAGTATTTCCCCTTCACTGTGCATTGTACCCAGTAGCTGTGTTTCCTAATAGAAAAGTCGGCCAACTTTTGCTAGGAAGTTCCCTGGTTTTGCTTCCTGGGTGGGGAAGTGGTCAGATGTTTGAGGCTGGCTGCTGGTGTAATTTTTTAAGGTTCTTCTGAATGATGGCTTATTTGCTAGCACTTAGAGATGACCTGCTTTTTCTTGCTTTCAGTTACATTAAAGAAAATGGCAGAAATGTTAGGTTGGAAGAAGTCAGTTAATAAGTCTTTTTTGTAAACAAGAAATTGCTTTGTTAGACCTTTCTTACTGTAAATTGGAAGTCGTCTTTAAGATTAAAAAAAAAGAAGAAGAAGAAAACTTCCTTATAATTGAGTGATAATTTATTGGCTCCCTGTGTCTTTATTTCCTGGTGGAGGTGTTGATATTTGGCTCTTACTCATTTAATAATTCCAGGAGCAAGGGAAAGCCTGGCTTGTGATATCTGGCTTAGTCTCTGGACAATGCCAAGGAATTCCCCTCTCAAGGGAGTTCCCCATAGCAATAGAGGATCTCTCTCCTTCACCCCTCGTTTTAAAGTACTTTTGTATTTTTGTGTTTTTCCCACTCGAAATCCACTCCCTTGCTCCTAGCTGCCTCCTGGTCTTTTGCCCACCACTAAGTCCTGCTCAACTCCACACCCTCTCCTCCTGTGGCTTCTCCAACAGAGGCTACTACTTGAAGAAAAGGAAGAAAGACATCCCAGGAATCTTGAGTCTTTACAAAAGATAAAAATAGGCTTTTATTATAGTAATTTAATAACCCTGCATGTGATCCTAACAATAGATGTGGATGAATTCCAACTTGGAAGAAGTCAAAGCCAGAGAGGAGTTGAGCTGGACTACCAAGAACAGGAAGTGCAAGAACAGCCTTTCAATTTCTCTGAAAAGTAGAAATGTCTTGAAGGTGCTGTGGATTCACAAGGACAAATAAGCTCTCTGGGCAGGTGGGAGACTGGGGATGGGAAGCACCAGGGCCTGGAGAGGGAACTCTACAGATCCCGGCAGTTGGGTGGAAAGGCTAAATCCAGGCCTGACAAACCCAAACAGCAATCGTGAAGTTAAATATAGCCACATTAAGGTCATGGTGCAGTTTACAGGCCAGAAAAAAGTTCCCAGATATCTAATGGCACAAAAGCTAAGTATGTGTGGTGGGTTCTGTTATCCTAGTGGTATCCTGAATTAGCAGCATCCTGTTCCTTAGCTAAAGCCTCAGGAAGATGAGGTGATATTTGCCCTGATTTGCAGGGTTGTAGGGAGCTTTTTAAGATCCTGGGAATGAAGGGCTGCAATGCAAATTTATGTGGACCTTGCACTAGATCTAGATGGAGTCCCCACTGCTCTAATAATGCACAGTTTTTTTTGTTTTGGCATTGGTTGTTTTTTAAATCACAACTTTCAGGTCTTAGGAAGAAAATCTATTTAATGTTGATACAGTGGGTTGACAATTTAATGGAAAATTAAGTCGCCTTTTAATGTTGATGCAGGAGAAAATTCATTACAGAATTCAAAGAGGCAGGAAGACAAGGTTGTCCTTTGTCTGGAGGCCGGAGCACTACCTCATGGTGTCCCCTGGCCAGTCAGCCTTATCATCCTCCCCGTCTCAGTTTACCCGAGTGGGAAAAAGGCTCAGGCAGACCTCATTCTCCAGCTCTTGGTTCTGTGTCCTTCTCTGTGGCCAGCTTGACTTGGCATAGTTTCCCCTCTGAGGTCACTGCTTATTTGTCCTTCTCTTATAAAGCTGACTTTCTAAAGAGCTGAAGCCACTTGCTCTTCATCCTTTTTTGGAACTAAAAGAAGTTCCTCCAGCTTAATTCTTCTCAAAGACACCCCATCTGCACATTGTGCTCATTTGCTTGTCCATGAAAAGGGAGAAAGAAATCACGTGACGTCATTGTCAAGGTTTCCTTTGGGGACAGGCTGGATAAACGGGATGAAAGGCTAAGTTCTGTCACAGCCTTAGGAGTTTGGATGTGACTGATCGAGGTCCCTAGATAGATTCCTGTTACATCACGGGTGTGCTATGGGAAGCTCATTCTGTACTTCTGTGGGGTTCCATGGCCCCATCATGACCCTGCTTGGCCAGTGCTGGTGGGTGCTTTTTCACTCACAGTCACTTCACAGTGACTAGACCCAAAAAAACTTGGATTCCAGATGGGCCAGGTCATGCCATTATTAGCACAGGAGGGCCTTTGAAGCCTCAAAATGGGTCACTTTCACTTTTCTCCCTTACTCCACCCTGTTCCTGTGAGTGATTGGCATGGACAAGGGCCATTAGTAGAACTTGGCCAGCACTGCAGGAGCTGGAATCACAGAGGGCCCAGGAGAAAGGATGGGGCCCAGGGGATGAAACAGAGTCCAGAGCTGCCCTGATGTGTCCAAGGTGACTTGGTTTCTCTTCCTCACTGTTGTGTCACTGTGGTCACCCCTTTAGAGAAGTCCTATCTGCTGGACTTCTTTACTAAGCCCTTCTGGTCTGCAGGAAAATACTCTTGTGAGAGCGCAAATAAAAAAGGGCTCAGAGCCTACTTGAAGAATGCACCAGAGTCATCCCTGGGCAGGAGAATAAAAGGGACAGCAGATGCTCTTCCTTTATCTAATGTGAGGAGATTGGGGCCCAGTGCAGGAGAGATTTGAGTGCAACTAATGGCAAGTTCCCAGCACTAGAGAAAGACATGGAGTGACTGTGTGTCTGTCTTCGGTGATCTCTATCTTCTCTTTCCCTACTTGGGAAGAGAATCCCAGTTCTCTGTACCCTACCCACCTGGTCTTCCCTGTGAGAGGAAAGGGTAACTTACACTTCCTGTTGGTGACAGAAGTTGCTTTTCAGAATGAATTGCTTTTTATCCTCCCATCTCCCTCCACATGAGGATATTGGTGGTGCTTGGCTCATGATGCCCTGAAATTGGGGTCGAGGACAAGAGTGCTATGGTGGGATACGGGCCAAACAAAAGTTGACTGCTAGGGTTCTGTGGGATCACATGCTTGTGATCCCAGTGAGTCTGAAGGCTGAGATTAAAGGATTGCAAGTTTGAGGCTAGCCTGGGCAACTAGCAAGATCCTGCTCAAAATAAAATAAAAAGGACTGGGTATGTAGCTCAGTGTTAGACTACTTGCCTGGCATGTTCGAGGCCCTGGGATCATTCTGCAGTACCAAGAGGAAAAAGAATTTTTAAAAGAAGTTGGTGGCCTTGGGCACAGGTGGGGATCCTGGTGACTGGAATCAGATATCTGAGAAAACAGAGCGGTTATATAACTGAGACTGTGTTTACTAGGGCTCAGGTGGCTGAGGAGGCTGAGGCAGCCCCTGACCAAAGGCAGCAGCAGAGTTGGTAAGTGGCAGGCTCACAGGGAGGGCGGTCCCCCCAGACAAGAAAGTGGGCCATGCCCAGGGGATGAAAGGAATCTGCCCTGGAGCTGATCAGGGCCTGTTATCTGGGACACCTTCACCAGCTCAGCCTGGCCCGGAAGCTGTTCCAGCCACAGAGGCAGACCAGCCACAAGGAACTGAAGTCAGGGGTGGGAGGTAGGAAATCTGACACCTGAGATACTTGGCTGAATCTCAGAACCTTGCTACTTTCCTACTTAATCTACTTTTCAAAGAGGAATTTTCCCTAAATATGGGCAGAAAAGGAGGAAATGTTCAAGTTTCCTTTGTTTTTCTTGCCCAGTGGTCCCAACAATCTCCATCTCCCCCCCCCCACACACACACACATACACCACTTTGGTACCAGGGATTGAACCCAGGGGCACTTAAGCACTGAGCCACATCCCCAGCTCTTTTTTTTTTTTTTTTTTGGGGGGGGGGTGTCTGGCTAAGTTGCTCAGGGCCTCCCTAAATTGCTGAGGTAGGTTTTGAACTTGTGATCCTCCTGCTTCAGTCTCCCAAGTCGCTGGGGTTACAGGCTTGCACCACCATGCTCTGCTCCATCCTGTCTTCTGTGGGAAGAAGGAACAGGGTGGGTTCAAAACCGCAGGGTCAGGTGTTGAGGCCAGACAGGCCCAGGCCTAAGTAGACAGACAGAGCTGAGGAAAGGTCTCTAGCAGCCTTCCCCGAACTCCTCCAAAGCTGTTTACCTAACTCCCCATTCCCATAGAGATGGACCTGGTGGCCAGTCCCCAGCTCCTTGCCCATGGCTGCCACCTCCCTCTGTGAGAAGCCGGAAGTTGGGACCTTTGGCGGCTCAGCAGCACCCTCTACATTAAATATTTATCTTGGAGTCCAGGTCAGAGCCCTAGAGAATAGAAAAGCTCGCTGCTGGTGAGGGATATGGCCAGGATTCCTGGAATTGGAAGATCTTCAGCTTCGCCATGTTTGGAGAACAAGGAAGATAACGAAAGTGATGTGGCCCTTCTTATACCCAAGGACTCTGACAGGTGGGGAAATCTCGGGACAAGGGTAATTTATCCCTGAGGGAGGAAAAAGACTGGTGCTAAGGGGTGGGTGTGTATCCTGCCTTCAAGGAGTGTCCCACACACCGCAGCCACCTTCTAAGGGCACTGCTACCCACCCCATCCTCAGCAGGAGAGGCAGACATTATCAAAAGGGACCTCAAAGGTGATCTTGCTCAGCCCCTGCTCAGTACAATAGTTGCCTCTGTAAAATTACCTCACAAATGGCAGACCTGGAGCCCCATAATCATTTTTAAATCTTTCTTGGAAGCCTAGGATCTGCTTCTGCGACCTGTGCCTGGTGGTCCCTTTTCTGCCAGTGCTGCTGATCTGTGACCACGAAGCAGCAGGCAGACACTGGAAGCCCCTGGCTGCCTCTTTGTAGACCTCCCCCTCAGCCTTAGCATCCCCATATTATCTTGTTCCAGTGCTACCAGTATAGCTCTTTACCCCAACTGGGAAAAGAGAGCTAACAGCAGTCAGGGAGGTAGGGGTTGAAATTGCTTCCTCTTTGCTCCATTCCCTTTCAAATTTTGGGCTGAATGCTGTACTTGAAAAACCGTCTGAAGTGCATGGTGGCCTTGGGTGCTAATTAGACACTCAGTAGGTATCTAATAGATACTATCATATTTCCCTAATTATTATTGATCACTCCCAACAGTATCTGAAGTAGATCAGTAGCTACTTGATGGTTGATTGGTTGAGATTTGGGGATCCCAGAGGTTAGCCAAAGGCTAGATGCACTCTAGACTTTATTTCCACTGTCAGTAAACAATCATGAAGCACCCTCATGTTTTTGTAACAGGCCCTGTACCCACATGCAAGCCTGGCGGGAAGGAGGGAAGAAGCCAGGGCCAGAGTGAACAAGGCGGGGCTCTGGGGACTCATGTCAGAGTAGCGGGAACAGCGGGAAGCAGGAAGATCAAAACAAATACGTGTATGGGAACATCAAGACCCTCCTAACCTCATCCCCGCCCAAGGGACCCCACCCTCATCCTCTTTAGGGGCGCGGCTTGCCCTGGGCCGCTGCCTGAAGCTGATTTCCTCCCAGTGCTTGCACGTGTGAGAATCCTCACATTTGCGAGTGCACGCGTGCAAGTTTTCTTTGCCCACTCCAGGCGCGCGCTTATGCGTGCACAAACCTCCTCCCCAAGAGCTGGAGAGACAGCGGGGGGCCTTGGCTCCTGGGCCACCCTGCCTGTGGGGCGCCTTTATCTCGGTCCCCTCCTGTCAGCCTTGCGGGCCGTCTCCCTCCTCTCCCTGGCGGTGGAGGCGTATCAGCTGAAAGCTCCACCCGTCCCTGGGACTCAGCGTGTTCTCGTTAATCACTCCTGCCCTCTGTCCTGGCTCCGCCGCGCAACAGCTCGCTTCCCACACCCTGGAAATGTCGCTGGAAACTCTGAGTGGCCCTCCCGCCCCCTTCCCGACGCCAGCCCCGTGGTGGGGGCCAGGGGAGGCAGCTGGGAAACCGAGCGGGCTCCCCGGGGACCCTTGGTGGCCCCTCCCGGCGCCGCCTCCTTGCCGGCCCGGCCCCTTCTGCAAGGGCCGCCAGAGTCCCCGCGGCGCGCCCCGGACGGAGGGCACTCGCACGCCCCGCTGGAGCGAGGGAGAGGAGCCGACCCCTTGCTCTGCCCCACCCCGGCCGACCCCGGTGCAGATCCGAGCCCCGAACTCCCCCGCCGCACCACTCGCACGGTCCTGCCTCCCTGAGCGCCCCCTCGGCCTCCTTCTTTCTTCTCGGGCGCCCAGCCTGGCCCGGCGTCCTGACCCGGTCACGAGGGCCGTGACGGCCCGCGCTTCTCCCTGCCCTCGCTCCCCAAGGGCCAGCCGCGGCTGCGCCAGGAAGGAGCTGGGCAGGGATGCTCCAACCCACCCAGGCGCCCTGAGGCCCTGCCACCTGCTCGCTGGGGAAGGTAGGTCCCAGGGAAGGAGAGGGGCGGGAAGGAGGCGAGGCCCCAGCTGGGAGTGATTCCAGCCTAACAGAAGGCACAAAGCCCCTCCCCCAGGGTCCCTGTCCCAAACTTGAAGTGGAAAGAGTTGTGAGCAGTTCCTCCACCTCTATCCAGAAAAGGCAAAAGTCTTGAAAACTTGTCCCTGCCCACGTGGACTTGTAGCTGGAAAGTACCTGGGGAAGCATAGGGCCAAGTCCCCAAGGTCAGGGACTCAGAGAAGGAGTCTGACCGGACTTCCAGCCTTTTGGTGCTGGCTGCGTGGGTGAGGGGGGCTGCCTGAATTCTGGGAGGACTCCAGAGTTTCCAACACCCTCTGTCCTTAGCTAGGCAGGGGACCAGTTCCCCCAGCATGCTCCACCTCCTAATGTCTCCTGGCTGGGATGCCAAGAGAAAAACTAGGACCACCTACCCCTGCATATTGCTGGGGTGTATCACATGGAGCAGATTTGGGGAAGGAGCACATTGGGGCACCAATGGGCAGACCCTGAGAACGGATATTGTTGGGAGAATCTCCTGCCCTGCTCCTCCTACAAGAGGGTACTTCTCTGAGCTGGAAGGGTGGGAAGGGACCCTAGAGGAGGAGGGCTCAGTCAGCTGATGGTCAGGACTGCTGATGCTGATCTGGCAACTTGGCTCCTGGCAGTCAGCAGGGCAGGGAGAGGTGGCTGCTAGGAACTAGCCTGCCCCAGGCCTCTGACCTTTTACTTTGCCTGCCTCACTTTTCTTATGAAGGGAGGCTGGGCAGCAGGAACTGGGGTGTGTCTGCATGTTTTGCTTTGGTAAGAATCCTAATTGGATCCAGCTGGTGAGCTGCCTCTCCCCCAGCCTCAGCCCTCCACTCCCCCAGTCAGGGCTTGGCATGAAGATCTATGTCCCCAGTTGGCCACTCTGATGTCAGAAGGAATCCCCATAAATGCAGACCGGAAATAGTCTGCTACCCACTCTTGTCACCCCCTCCACCCCAGACCTGAGCAGAAACTGGATACAGATGAGGAATCACAGCCCCCCTATTGTAGCTTCAATCCCCCCAGGGTCCCCACAATTCTTATGCTGCTCATATGACTGTCCGCTGCATACTCCCCCAACTGCTACTCAGTTCTCACCCCTCTAACCACAAACCCCATGAGGCTCACATGACCTCGGTGATCCCCCAAGAGCCATATCGTAGCACTGCATGTATATTCCACTGTGTACACACAGTGCAGGGCGCCTCCAGGCATCTGCCGCCCTGGTGAAAGCCCCCCCAGACCCCACAGGTGCGTACAAGCCTGATTCAGTCTAGTCCATAAGGCCGTGGAGGTTGGCTCCCTCCTGGCCTATCCAGCAGCAAAGGTGAGAGGGCCTACTCCACACCATGGAGCTCTTTGGGTACAAAAGCCCCCTCAGACAGCTCGACCCAGGATCTCCCTGTGTTCTCTTGAACCTGTCTCTGGGCTCCCTCCTTTTGTTTGTTTTTGCAGTGCTAGGGATAGAACCCAGGGCTTGACACCTGCTAGGCAAGTGCTCTGCCACTGAGCTACATCCCAGCCCCTCTTGCGTACCTCCATTTCCTGGGTGCCTGCAGCCCCCGTCCCCTGACCTCAGCTTTTCATGGCTAGTTGGGCACAGTTCTTTCAGGGAGGACCCTCCATGCAAAACATAGCCTGGAGGTGCAGGACAAAGGGGAGCATGTGTGTGTACAGAGGAGCACTCAGGGCCATGCACATCTTTGCCCTCACCCGCTGCTTCCCTCTCCACCCCACCAGCACTGGCACCTGAGCCCTGGTCTCCAGGGCTCCTGTGAAGGAGGCCAGAGGGAGCCATTCTCCCTGAGCTCAGGAGTGGTTCCGCTTCCTGGAAATGTTCCCCTGGGCCTTGGTAGGGATCAGGGCATTGCTGGCTACTTCCCAGTGGGCAGTGGGTGGCTGGCCTTGCTGTTGGTCAGGGCCTCTCCCCTGGCCTAGGCCCAAGTGACTCCTTGTGCTTGTGGGCAAGCAGATGCTGCACAGAGCCTGGAGGAGGCAGAGGAACTGAAACAAAGTCATGTGTGCCTCCCTCTCCAACAGCTGCCCCAGATCCCCTGTGCCTTCCCTCTGGGGAGCAGACTGGGCTGGCAAGGAGAGCCCCGGAGGGCCTAGCCAGCAGGCCCACAGCCCCACTCCTGGCCAGCCTTCCCTCCCTCCCTCCTTGCCTGGGCCTCCCCCTCCCCCATCCCACCCGGAGCTCCTGCCCAGACCTAACAAGGGCCCATTGTGCTTCTGGGAGCCGGCACGGGCAGCCTGCAGGCGGGTGCCTGGAGTGGCCTGTTTCCTGGGTCCTTGAGCTCCCACCCAGCTGGCCCCAACCTCCTCCCATAGTTTGGCCTTTCTCCCCCACACCAGGGTCCGGCCAGGGGCCTATAGACAGTGCCTTTCCCTTTCTTCTCCCTTCTCTGCAGAGAACTTTCAGAGGAGCAGTCGGTACACACGGAGACATCCAGCCTTGACCTGAGCATGCAAGGCCCACCCTGCAACCTCCCTGCTGAGCTCAGCCTAGATGACTTCATCCCTGGCCACCTCCGGGCCCATGTAGGGTCATCCTCCCGGGGAACACGGGTGAGTGGGATGGCAAGGAAGCAGGTGCCTTGTGGGTCCAGTTATTAGGGACTGCAGGTCAGGCAGGGGAGCAGAGAATTGAAGGGGGAAGGGGGGGGTCTGAAGAGAGCTCTGGGGAGGCTGCATAGCTGCCCACAGAAAGGCAAGGCTGGTCCTTGGACCCTCTTTGTGGGGTGCAGGCTGTGCCCAAGTAGCCATCCTGCCCTTTCTCCTGTGGAACCTTCTGGGCCCTGAGCTGCAGCTCCTGGCCCCTCCTACAGGTGCCTGTGATCCGGAATGGTGGCTCCAACACCCTTAATTTCCAGTTCCATGACCCTGCGCCCAGGACTGTGTGCAATGGCTACATCCCACAGAGGAGAGAAGCTTCCGAGCTCTCAGGTGGGTCTGCACAGAAAAAGCTGCTCCAGCAGCCCTGTGTGGGAGGTGGGGGGTCTGAGCCCCTGGACCCTGCCATTTGGCACCACTGTATCAAGAGACAGGGGCAGCAGAGGAGGATGGATGTCTCAAGATCATGAGGTACCCAGGGGCCCACCGGCTCAGATCAGGGCCCTCCCTCTGCTGTGGTGGGGGAGCAGGCTGAGGTACCCCTTCCCTCCCACTCCTGCCTCGTGCCTGGGGAAGGGAATGTGCAGGTTCAAGGGTGCATCAGCAGGCCAGGGAATGGCTAGACTGGGCTGTTCAGGTCTCTACTCACAGAGCCCAGCAGGAGGTTGGAGAGGCTGTTTGAGAGCCTGTCACCTAGGTCCCAGGGTCCCCAAGATCCTGGGAACCTCTGGATGTAGGCCTGCCCTGAGGGAGGTGGCATCTTTGTTGAGCACTCTCTTGAGGGAGACATTGTAAAGCACTTCATTCGTTCAACAAGTAATCACTGGACACTTAGAGCAGCACAGAGCCAGGCAAACACATTTTACAAGCCTCATCTTATTTAATCCCTCCATATTCTGGCAAAGCTAGGTTCAGGAACCAAGGCAGAGCTGAGACTCTTACCCTTGCCTGTCTGGCCCTGAAGCCCTTAGCTGCTACACTGCCTACTTAGGGGCTAAAAATTCTGGGGAAATTGACACAGTACCATGACTAGGAAACAAGTTTCTGTCTTCGCTGTCCTTGGCTGTGTGTGCACAGCCTCACAAAGTAGATGTCACTGAATCCTTCCCACCGGTACCCTCCTTTTACGGAAGTGGAAACTGAGGTGCTAAGGGCCTGATTGATGTGCCTGAATTCACACAGCCAGTAGGTGGCAGAGCTGGGGTCTGAATTCAGGTCTGTTCCACCCCCCCCCAGCCCAGCCTCTTTTCTGCCACCCCCCCCACCAAGCCACCCCCAGCATTCTCTTGAGTAATGATTCCCAGCCCTCATTCTGTAGACTCTTAAGACAGCCCCAGGAAAGCAGGAGGGGTTGAGTGCGGACACATATTTCTCAAAACAAAATCCACTTTAATTCACTTTAAGAAGTAAACAAACAGAAGCCTGTGGTGCTGCCAGGGATCAAGAGCCTGAGTCATCCATTCAAACAAACAAGGAGCTGTTGAAACTTTGAACCCATAGGGATCAATGCTGTGAGGATCTAAGCGACAAACAAGGTCAGGTAGAGGCCCCAGCCTTTAGCTAATGCTCTCCTGCACATACCCCACAGACCCTGCATGGTATCAGACCTGGCCAGGCCCTGGCCCCTGGTCCTCTGAGAACTCGAAGGCCTCTCCACCACAGGATGCCCAGAACTGGTCAGCCACATGGACCAAGGACAACAAGCGGCGGGACAAGCGCTGGGTCAAGTACGAGGGAATCGGGCCTGTGGATGAGAGCGGCATGCCCATTGCCCCCCGATCTGTGAGTCAGGGCTGGGGGTCACGAACAGATGGGACCGACAAAGAGCTCTATTGTTTGGATAAATCAGAGATGGGCAATAAAGGCTGTACCCAGACCATTCCAGACTAAGCTGGGATCTAACCATGATGAGTTTCAGGGGATCATGAACCCCATAAAGTTACGGGCACCCTTGTGAGTCTGAGTTGTACAAGTGGGAAGGCCTCATAGCACAGCAAGCATTGAAGGACCTGAGGACCCCTTCAGCACTGCCACAGCCTCCCTCTTCCATCTGCCTCCATATCTTGAGGCAACATGCTTCTTCACCAGGAAGCTGGTGTTATCATACCCTTCCTGTCTCCCAGGGCTGTTTGGGAAATATCATCTCCCCCCTCTCCATTATCACTTTTATTTTTCATTACATAGAAACACATGTTTTTTTTCTAGAAGCATTAGAAATGTAGAAAAGCAAAAGGTAACGTGTAAATCACCCCAAATCCACAGTGTAGGGATCATGGTTGTATATACTGATGGAGGCCTGCATATGTGACATGCTCCTGAAGTTATTGCTCTGGAAAGACACCACAGAAGATTCCCTAGTCCACCCGCAGGGCCATCACCAGGGGCCAGAGAAAGGGCTCACCAAGGAAAACCTTTTGTGACTTGCTATAGGGGGGGTGGCTGAGCACAGAGGCCTGACTTTATATCTTCTGATCCCAGAGCGTTGACAGCCCCAGAGACTGGTATCGGAAAATGTTCCAGCAGATTCACCGGAAAATACCAGGTTAGACACCCTCTCCTGCCAGAGAATATTTTGGTATCCAAAGCCTTGGGAGGGAGGGAGAGAAAAAGAGACTTTCCTCCTCAGGGGATTTACTCCACCTATCTAACCCCAAGGCTTTAAAGTCAGTGGTCCTTAAGACAGACCAAAGAAGTGAATCTCCATGTCCCCTCCCTGGACTGGGGGCTAGCAGTGGCCTCCAGAGAACCCTCCAGCAGCCACTGATGTCCTCAGTGTCCTCTGAGGGTACCCGAAGGCAGTCCTTCCCTGAAATCCTTCTTTTGACTTTTCTGTAGGGCTGACATTCCAACATTAGTGGACATGAGGCCAACTCATCCAGTCAGTCCCTGACTGTGGAGCACTTAACTGTGTTGAGCACTAATCTAGGTGCTGAAGTTAAAAGGGAGACACACAATAAACAGGAACCTTCTAGACGGCATATGGCAGAACTGGCTAGGGAGAAAAATAAAGGCCACGGAAGTGACCAGTACAAAAAGGCTGTGACTTCACCCAGGATGGTCAGGGAAGGCCCCTGTGAACTGACCCTGGTGCAGAAAGCCCTGGGAATAAAGGAGGTCACCCAGCAGAGGGAACTCCAAAGACCTGGAAGGAAAAGCATGCGTGGCATGTTGGGGACCAGCAAGGAGCTCTTGGACCATAGTGGGGGGCCTTTGGTGGGACATGGAGCCAGAGAAGTCCTAGGTACTTTGGGCTTGTTATGAGAACTTTGGCTTTTACTGTGCAAGAGATCAGGAGCCAGAGAGAGGTTCTGAGCAGAAGAGTGATATGTTCTGACTGTGATGGCTGAAGAGGCTCTCTGAGGCTGCTGGGTGCAGAAGAGTTGTTGGGAGCAGGGGATCAGTTCCCTGGTTGGTAAGGCTGGGAAGGAAATGGCTGCCATGAAAGCCCTGCTTTAACGAGACCTAGACCAGGGCAGGAGCAGTGAACCTGCTAGAATCCTTTGGGGATTCTGAATACAACCAGGGACCGTCATTGGACTATTTTTTTTTTTTTATACCAGGGATTGAATCCAGGGGCACTTAATCACTGAACAACATCCCCCCCACTAAGTTCCTGAGGCTGGCTTTGAACTCACAATCTTCCTGACTCAGTCTCTTGAGCCACTGGGATTATAGGCCTGTGCCACTGGCCCAATCAGTCATTGGAATTTGTTGGTGGATTGAACACAACCTGAAAGAGAGGCATGAGAATGATTTAAAACTGAGCAGGCTGAGGGGCTGGGGATGTGGCTCAAGTGGTAGCGCGCTCGCCTGGCATGCGTGCGGCCCAGGTTCGATCCTCAGCACCACATACAAACAAAGATGTTGTGACCGCCGATAACTAAATATTAAAATTCTAAAAAAAAAAAAAAACTGAGCAGGCTGAAAGAGATGCCGTTTATAGGAGCAGAGAGGACTCAAGGAGGAGCAAGTTTAAGAGGCATTCAATTTTACCATACTAGGGAATGAACCCAGAGACACTCTACTCTGAGCTGTATTCCCAGGCCCTTTATTGAGCAGGGCCTTTTTTTGGAGACAAGGTCTTGATAAGTTGCCCAGGCTGGTCTTAAACTTGTGATCCTCCTGCCTCAGCCTCCCAAGTAGCTGAGATTACAGGCGTGCACCACTGTGCCCGGCAGCATTCAGAATTGGTACATGTCACATCTGAGTGATATCGAGTAGGCAGTTGAGTAAAGACTGTAGTTTAGGGGAAAGGTAAAATGCAGGTAGAAATATCTGGGACTCACTGAAAAATGAGATTTTAATTTCAAGTTCCCCAGGTAATTCTAATGTGCAGCCAAGGTTCCGAGTCCCAGAATAGAGGGTAAAATGGTTATTCCTCAGTGGATGGGGGGGAGCTCAGTGGTAGAGCACCTGCCTTGCATGCATGAGACACTGGGTTCGATTCTCAGCACCACATAAATCAATAAAATAAAGGTATTGTGTCCATCTACAACTAAAAAATAAAAATTAAAAAAATGATTATTCCTCAGTATCCCATAAGGATTGGTTCCAGGACCCCCTGAAGATACTAAAATCCCCTCATGCTCAAGTCCCTTGAATGAATGAAGTGGCATAGTACCAGCCTGAACCCACTACTTAGGTGTGATTTGAATCGCTGCTAAAATGACATAGTGTTTGCCTATGACTTACCCTTCCTCCCATATACTTTTTCTTTTTTGGTACCAGGGATTGAACCACCCAGGGGGCACTTCACCATTGAGCCCCAGCCTCAGCCCCATCGGTGGGGGTCCTGGACAGGAGTGGTGGGGGCAGGAGTGGTGGGCTGAAGGCCTATTTAGAGAAGGGGCAGCCGGGAAGGTCGTGATCCTCAGCTAGTTAAGGTTTGCTGTGAAGAGAAGCAGAACAGTCAGCAGCCAGCGGAAGGTGGGCTCCTGAGAGGGGAACTTTGGTTTGCTGAGGGAAAGGTGGGCAGGCTGGTCAGTCGCTCTTCCAGGGCCTTCCCAGCCCCAGAAGAGTGAGTCTGGGCAAGGGGAAAGCAAAGCATTTAGAAGAGAGCGCAGAAAGCCAAGGGGAAATCCAACCTGACATGGCCAGGGTAGGTCTGCAGAGGTCAGGAGAGGGCGTGTGTGGGAACCCGGAGGGAGAAGCTGGACAGGACTGTTTGGGCCAGGCGGCTGCCTGCTCAGCTCGCCCAGGCCGTAAGCCTGCCAGAGGCATTTCAAGCCCTCCCAAGAGCTGCTCTCCTAATTCCTCCCCTCCCTGGGACATTCCACAGGCCCTGACTCAGCGCTCAGCCCTAGGCTGGAGGGAGGCTGGGAGTGGCCAGGGCGTCCCATCCCCACTTTCTGCCCTATCTGTGACCTGGTCCTTTTTGCTCCCCAGACCTGCAGCCTGACTGGACCTTCCAGGACCCACCCAAAGGTGAGGGAGTGAGGGCTCGCTCATCCACCCTGGCCGGCTGCCTGAAGCAGGGAAAGCAGCCCCAAGCTTGACTCCAGAGCTCCCCAGGTGGCTTCGGTCAACCTGAGAGGTTTTTGTACTTCATTCTGGGAAACTCCGAAGCCCCTGGGAGGTGTAGTGGTAATTGGGAATCTTAGCTTCCTTCCTCATCCTGGGAATCCTCACTCTGCCACACCCTGGCTGAGTTGGCTGCCTCCCTTTTCTCATCTGTACAATGGGGATACCACCTACCCCAGAGCTGTAAAACTCTTGGGGAAAAGTCCCACATTAAGTGGCCTCAAGAACCATCTCTGTCCCCTGTGAGCCAGCCACCCAGAAGCTAGGGAGGAAGTGGATGCTGGAGCTTCACAGGGTCACCCAACCCCAGCCCCTGCCTTTCTTCTTCCACCTTCAGTGATTTCCTCGTGGAACTCCTCTGCAAACCCCAAGCAGCCAGGGCCACCGCAAAGAACATCCTCCAGGCCAGGGGGCCCTGCAGCAGCTTCTGTCGGGTGAGCTGGGGGCAGAGGTTGCGTGGGCCTTAGCTTCCCTATAGGGACCAGTGCCCCCTCGTGGCCACGTCCAGCACAGCCTCAGAGCACGCAGGATGGGGTCAGCTCCTCAGCTGGGCTCTGTCCTGTCGCCATCCTGTCACTTTTTTCCATCCATCCAAGATAAAAGGGGAAAGGTGCCCGCCCAGGAATGGGCCTGGCATCCATTTCTGGTCAGGAACACCTGCCCTGTGTTCACGGTGGCCAGGAGGAACTCATCCCCTGCAAAAACCCATGGGTCATGTGTGCCCGGTGGGGTTTCCCAGGCACCCACAGATAGAGCTGTTGAGGGCAGCTTGGTCCTGGGGCCCTCCACTTTGAAGCCTGAGAAAAAGCAATCATTGTGGATGAACCCAGGTTCCCATCCACATGCAGCTGTGAGACACACTGCAGACAGCGGAGGGAGGAAATGCCTTCCTCTCTGCAGACTGCTCAGGCCCATGGGAACCTGGAGCTTTGCTCTCAGAGTTAAATCCAAGAGCTTCTTGTGCCTTTACATGGAGGGATCCTGCTCACTAGCATGGCCATGACCAGCCTGTGGCTCTTGAGCACCATCAATAGAGACTGAAGAGCTCCAGATTGGACCCAGAGTTGGGGTTGAAGCCAGTGCTCTGCTACTAGCCATGTGACCTTGGCCACTTACCCACTCTGAGCCTGGGTGTCTGTGTCTTATAAGCGGGGACCATTCAGTGAGGACGGAATGAGATCACATTGGCATCCTCATCACGACTGGCGCACAGCATGTCTACACAAACATTAGTAATATACAAGCTCAATTATGACTAGAGCTTCCTTTGATTAGCCACGACACATTCCATTCTCATGATCATTTTTGTTATTCCTAAAATCAGAATAGAATCATAATTATAGCCAAGAAATCCTGACCCTCTGGGCAGACATTCCATCATTTGATAAGCTTGATACAGTGCTTTTCCTTGGTACAAACTTTCAAACTAAAAACAGAGGCTGGGACATTAAAGCCAGCCAGGAAAGGACCCTTGGAGGGAAGACAGCAGGGTGCCTCAGTAGCTGGGGTGGTCACTGAATCTAACCAGTACCTCCATGGAACAGAAATAACTCGCCCAGACCTCCTGGAGGTTTTTCCTGGAATAGGATGCAGACTGTTCTCTTGGGATGTGTGTAAGTCCACTCAGCTGTGGCAGCAGGAAAGACCAGATTCATGGAAGCTGCACAGACATATACCAGGGCAAATGCAGGATACCTAAGGCCCACCGGAAAGCCCCAGCTGCCCTGCAGCAGAGGTTTATGTCTGGCCTTCTCCTGAGCACCTGGTATGAATTCCCTTACCCAATCACTCCCACTTCACAGGTGCTGCACCTGAGGCTCCATACAACTTACCAAAAGGTGATGGAGCTGGGATTTGCACTCAGAGCTTGCGCACTTGGCACTATTTAACACTGCTTCTGCAGTAAGGAAGAGGGACAAGCAGAGACAGCAGAGGCCCCTTGGCGGGATGGGGCCGGAATAGAAAGAAGTGATGCTACACCTTCTCCCAGGGCTGTGTTCTCACTTGTGCCTCAGTTTCCCTAAAAGGAGACTGATGTTCTTCCCTTTCTTTAGGAGAAGCTGGGACCACTCTGAAGAGTTACCCAGAAGCACCTTCACCTATAATCCTGGAGAACTGCCCTCAGAGCTCCAGCCCCCACATCAGGTAGCTCATCCAGTATGCTCCCCTTCCACCCCGGCAGCATGGTCTGGCCAGGTCTCTCTGCTGAAATTCACAGCTTGAATCTTTAGGAGGGCAGATAGGTACAGGATAGGGCAGGGCCTGAGAGCCTGCTTTTGAGCCTGGGTAGAGCCCCAGTGCCCCTCTACTCAAGGTAATGGCTACCCACATCTGTGCAGGTGCCAAGAGAAAGACGCCGAGAGAAAGCAGAAAATGTCTGGACAGAAGATTCTTGGAACCAGTTTCTGCAGGAACTAGAGACTGGGCAGAAGGTGAGTATGGACCAGCTCCTCTGGGTGTGGATGCACCCCCCGGCTTGAGCATTTGGAAAGTGCATTCACCCCCTGACCTTCCCTTCCCACCCTTCAGCCCAAGAAACCGCTGGTGGATGACCCTGTTGACAAACCCTCCCAGCGCATCGAGGTAAGTGTTGCATCCGGCTGGAGAGAGATTCTGGGTCATATGGGCCCCAATGACCATGGGCAAAAGTCATGGACCAAAGGCCCAGACACTCTCTGCTCTCATACAGCACCCAGGACAGTGCCTGGTGTACAGTAGGTACTCAATTAACATGTGTGACCAAAACAAGAGCAGAGGAGGGAGTGTCCAGTATGGACTGGAGTTACCAGGAAGTATTCTTGGACACAGAACTGAGGGATTTTTTTTTTGTTGTTGTTGTTTGTTTTGTTTTGTTTTTGTACAGTGTTTTATCACTGAGCTACATCTCCAGACAGTTTCTTATTAAGTTGTTTAGGGCCTAAGTTGCAGAGGCTGTCCTCAAACTTGTGATCCTCCTGCCTCAGCCTCCCAAGACACTGGGATTACAGGCATCCATCATGCCAAGCACTAAAACTCAGCTCTAAAAAGATCAAAGGGTGGTCTGGGGATGGGGCTCAGTGATAAAGTATTTATCTAGCTGGGTTAGGTCCTCAGTAGGGCCAAAGGGAGATCAGAGAGCTTGGCCAGGCCGAAAGAGAGCTGCTTAGGGGAGACATATATGCATATAAGCAGAGACTTGAAGTGGAAAGTATGGAGGAGGGGAATATGCATATGTGTGTGAATGCATGTGTAATTGGTCTACTAGAGTGGGCACTGAGGGGGAAGGCTGGATGGGTACAGTGAAGCCAGGCCATGGAAAGCCATAGAAAACGATGGCATGGACCTCACAGGCTCTTGACTAGAGACTTGACATGGCAAAATAAATAAATAAATAAAAATAAAAAAGGTAGGGAGGTGCCATCAGGAAGTACTACTATCTTAGCACCCTGGAGTGCAGGAGCAGAGGGGGCAGGAATGCCCTCCCATATACCCGGAGCCACACCCCTCCCAAGCCACAGCAGACACTGGCTGAGGCATGCCCTTGACCCAAGCACGGTGTGACCTGCCCTGCTGCTCCCATCTGACCTCTGAGCAGCCCCACTACACACACTCACGCACACTGTGCTGCCCTCCTCCCACCCCTCCCCCCACTGCCTAAGCCTTCCCCACCCCCAGGTCCTGCTGGAGAGAGAGCTAGCCAAGCTGAGCGCTGAGCTGGACAAGGACCTGCGGGCGATTGAGACCCGGCTGCCTGCGTCCCCCAAGGTACTGGCCTCCTGGGGTCCTCCTGGGGGATGCCATTGGCCACTGAGGCGGGGACTGGGTGGAGGACGGGCAGGCACTCTGGCTGCGGCCACCTTGGGCAACTTCAGCCTGTTGCTTATTCAGGGCGTTGACTTTCCAAGTGACCCCTAGGAACCCTTCCAGGCCCACTCCACGTCAGCTCGTCGTCTGGGACCCGGGTCCCCGCCCCACTCCGCCCCGTCCTAGCGCAGCCCCAGGGACCCCGACCCGTACGGGCCCTAGTTTCCCGGCCCGGCCTCCCTCTTCCGCCGCTCGCCGCCTCCTGCTCCTCGGCTCCCGCGCGCGGCCGACTCTAGGACCCCGCGTCCCGCCGCCCCTCCCCGCCCTCCTTCCCTCCCGAGCCACGAACTTTTCCGGAGGCGGCGGCCTCGGCTGCCTGAGCCCCGGGACCCCAGGCCCTGATCGCGCCCGTCTCCCCGCACAGAGCGCGCAGGCGCCCCGACGGGCCCCGGAGCAGCGGCCGCCGGTCGGGTGAGTGCGGAGACGCGGGCTGGAGGAGGAGGGGTCCGTCCGGGCCGGGGCCGGGGACGGGAACGGACGTGGCGCGGGCTGGGCGGCGGCGCGGGGGCGCTGGCCCGGCCCAGTGCGGGGGACGCGCGGACCCGGGGGAGTGCGCGGAGGAGGGGCCTGGAGAGTGGGAAAGTGGCCGGGAGGGACCGGAGCCGCCGCTCTCTGCAGGGGGCCGTCCTCCAGCGTCCCGAGGGCCACTTGCCCGACCCGGGGACTTGGGTGGCGGCGGTGGGACCCCCACTTCCCACGCACACTGTCGCCACCGGCCGTCTCCGGCCTCTCCCTGCCCAAGGCCTCACCCTTTCCCGGCCGTGGCTGCAAGGGAAGTAGGACATCCTGTTGAGAACCCGGGACCTGGGAGACGCCTTGGGAGGAGGTGGCCCGGGTGGGGGTGGCGGGAAGATTTGGGAGATCGGGGAAGTCTGGAGGGGAGTCCCAAACCGGTGCTCACTCCGTGTGTCCGTGTAGCCCGGCCTCAGCCTGGAACTTCAGCGCCCCGCATGCACCTTACCTGGGTCCCACCCAACCCCTGAGCCCCCACAGAATGGCGGATGGAGGAGGAAGCCCCTTTCTAGGTCGGAGAGATTTTGTCTACCCTTCCTCAGCCCGAGGTAAGGACCCCGCGGCCCCATTACCTAGATGTGCACCTACCAGATATGCAGGTAGGCAGGGAGATCACAGAGCCCCTTGCTTCTCTGTGTCCGTCCTGGGTGGAGGGAGCATAACCCATCCCAACCCAGACACCCCCCAGATATGACCTCCCCAAGTTGAGGTGGTGCTTCTCCACAGACCCTAGTGCCTCCCAACGAGGCTGCAGCCCAGCCAGAAAGGAAGAGAAGAAGGTAAGGAGGGTGCATCAGGGTCAGGGTGCAGGAGGAGGTGCATGGAGCAGGTTTCCTGCCTGACTGAGGTAGCCCACTCTGTTCTCTTCCCCTGCCCAGAGAAAGGCTGCCCGGCTCAAGTTTGACTTCCAGGCACAGTCCCCCAAGTAAGTGGCTTTTTCTCAACCTTTTCCCTTCCACTTTGGGTAGTTTCTGCACTATTGGGTGGGAGACAGGGCTTCAGTATGCATCTCCAGAGGGTGGAGGGGACCTGGGGTACTCTGCAGGGTCTGAGGAAAAGGAGGCCCAGCTTGCTGTGACATTTCTACTCTGGCCTGCAGGGAGCTGACTCTGCAGAAGGGTGACATTGTCTATATCCATAAGGAGGTGGACAAGAACTGGCTGGAGGGAGAACACCATGGCAGACTGGGTATCTTCCCTGCTAATTATGTGGAGGTGAGTGGGAGGAACAGGTGCAAGTAGGAGCCAGGCTGGGAGGGCCCAGGGCTGGGAAAAACTTGGAGTGCAGATACCTGGTTTCCTAATGTGTAAAACTGTGAGGGGCACAAATACCCCACCACCACCACCAGCCTGGCTGGATGCTCTGCGATCACCCAGGAAAGGTTTGCTAAATGAGGGTGGAGCCAGCCCAGGGGAGACCAAGTAGTCCAGCTACTCAACCAGAAGCCACAGCCCTATCAGTGTCTTGGACTTCCACCATTCAGAATCCCTCTCCTAATTGCAACCAGCAAGAGTTGGAAGTGTGTGGCCATTTATGAGCTATATATAAATGCATTACCTCTTTCAGATATATTACCTCCTTTGTTCCTCACTGCCTGGGGAGTGACAGATAATCCCCATTTTACTGATAGGGCTCAGCGACAAATTACAAAGTAGAAGATTAGAATCTGAATGTGATCTTTCCATTCCAGGGACAGGTCTTACTAGAGGCCTATAAGTTATCTTTGGTATTTGTGTCTTTTGAGGAATGTCAAGTTATTGGCATAAAGTTGTTCATATTATTCCCTTAGTATCTTTTTTTTTTTTTTTATGAACACAGGGTGCTTAACCACTGAGCCACATCCCCAACCCTTTTAGCTTTCCCTTTTAGCTTTTTGAGACAGGGTCTCGCTAAGTTGCTTAGGGCTTTGATAAATTGCTGAACTTGGCTTTGAACTACAATCCTCCTGCCTCAGCCTCCCAAGCTGCTGGGATTACAGGTGTGTGCCACTGCACCAAGCCTTTAGTATCCTTTTAATGTCAGTAAAATCTGTAGTGATGACCTCCCTCTAATGACCAATATTGACAATTTATATTTTCTTCTGGTTAGAGATTTATTTATTTTTATTTTCTTTTAAAAATATTTTTAGTTGTAGATGGACGCAGTACCCTTACTTTATTTTTTTATTTTTATGTGGTGCTGTGGATTGAACCCAGTGCCTCATGTGTGAGGCAAGCATTCCACCCCTGAGCTTCAGTTCCAGCCTTTTATTTATTTTCTTGATCCTTTCAAAGAACTTATTTCATTAATTTTTCTCTAGTGGTTTTGTTTCTAATTTTATTGATTTATGCTTTTTTATTATTTTTTCACTTTTCTTTTTTTTTCTTTTTGCTCCTGGGAATTAAACTCAGGGCTGCTTAACCACTGAGCCACATCCCTAGCCCTTTTAAAAATATTTTATTAGAGACATGGTCTCGCTGAGTTGATAAGTACTTCTCTAAGTTGCTGACACTGATTTTGAATTTGTGATTCTCCTGCCTCAGCCTCCCGAACCACTGAGGTTACAGGCCTGTGTCACCACGCCCGTCTATTTCTGTCTTTTTACTTATTTTAATAACAAGGTTTAATTTGCTCTAACCTTTGTGATTTCTTAGTTTATGTTGTTGATTTGAAACTTTTCCTCATATGAATATTTGATGTTATAACTTTTCCTTTAAATACTGCTTTAGCTGCATCTGACCATTTAAATTTTTTTTTCAACTTGAACTATTTTATCATTTCCTTTGTGACTTCCTCTTTGACTCATGGGTTGGATTGTTATTTCATTCAGGTTCTTGATTTGATAGCCATCATAAGGCATCCCCTACCTACAGGTTAACTTCTCTGATCCTGAAATTTCACAAGTGTATACAATATTCCATCCCCCTAATTATTTATGTCTTGGTGTAAAATTGTTGATTAGCTTCTTGATTTTTTTTTTCCAGTATTGGGGATTGAACCCAAGGGCACTCTTACTACTGACCTACAATTCTAGCTCTTCTTATTTTATTTTGAGACAGGGTCTCTATAAGTTGCTGAGGCTGGCCTCAAACTTGTGATCCTCCTGCCTCAGCCTCCCAGGTCATTAGGATCATAGGTTGCACCACCATGCCCAGATGGCTTCTTGACTTTTATGAGTAGGGTGAAGCAAAGGCCGCATGGGGATTCTGGGCACCTGATGGGATAGAAAGGGAGGGGGAACCGAGATACTTGAACCAAGGGACACCTGGTTCCCAGTAGTGGTAAAAAGTTAAATCCTCAGTTTTCAAAGAGGTTGCCATCTGTTCCCTACAACTCCAAACACTCCATTTCCTTCTGCGGTCCAGCCTCGCTTTCCAACTGGCCCATCTTCCACCTGGCACTTGTCATACCCCCTCCACTAACGCCTCCTCCACAGACCTCTGTTGGAAATTCTTCCGGGAAGCCTTCTTGGACTAACCCCCTCACCGCTTGGCTGGCTCACCCTGGCCACCCCTGGGGCTTCTGTCTGGGGTCAGTGTCCACAGCCAATGTCTTCTCTCTGTCCAGGGCAGCTCTTGCGCATCACCACCTTCTCTTTGGTGCCTCGCCCTCCCACAGCCCCAGGGGTACACCCAGTAGATGCCGGGCCAGATCTTTCTCATTACCTTTCTTTCCACAGGTGCTGCCTGCAGATGAGATCCCCAAGCCCATCAAACCCCCCACCTACCAGGTGGTGGAGTACGGAGAAGCTGTGGCCCAGTACAACTTCAAGGGAGACCTGGAGGTGGAGCTATCCTTCCGCAAGGTGGGACCAAGAGGGAAGAAGTGGGGTGGGGTGGGGTGGGGACAGATGAAGACAGATAAACTCTTTTTTCCCCCAATGCTGGAGATTGAACCCAGGGTCTCATGCATGCTAAGCAAGCCCTGTACCACTGAACCACATCTCCAGCCCAAACCCTAAAAGGTTTTATTTAGTCAGGCACACCCATCTGCACCCCGTATTTCATGTTTTTCCAAAATTCTTAGAATTTTGTTCCCCTTAATTTAATCCATTTTTAAAAGATTGTTATAAACTTCTAGAAGTGTGTTTTTCAACTGCATGTTGATAGATGACGAGGATCAGAATCTGCACTTTCTTCTTTCTGTACTGGGGAAGAACGTTCAACCACTGAATCATATTTCTGGCCCTTGGTATTTTCTCTTTTGAGACGGGTCTCCCCAGGTTGCTGAGGCAGCCTGGAACTTGCCGTCCCCCTGCCTCAGCCTCTAGAGTAGCTGAGATTATAGGCTCCTGTCACCAGGCCTGGCTATAATCTGCATTTTTAAAGGAATAGATAGAAATATTAGACTGCATTGTGTGGAGAAAGAAAGGGTATGTTCCCAACTGTAGGCAGCTGTGGGTGTGAATAAAAAGACATTTTAAAAATATATATGTTTTAGTTGTAGGTGGACACAATACCCCTATTTATCTTTATGTGGAGCTGAGGATCGAATCCAGGGCCTCACACGTGCTCAGCCAGGGTTCTACCACTAAGCCATAACTGTAGCCCCTAAAAAGACATTTTAAAATGTGGACTGTAGTTTAAAAAAAAAGTCTGAAAAATGCTGTCCTGGAAAGCAAGGCCTGGTCTCCCTTTGGATGGTATTTGTGGGGGGCAGAGGCCATCAGTGCCTGTAGTCAGTGCCACCCAGCCAGCCAGCCCCAGGCACAGAGAGGAAAGGAGGGGCCGCATGGGGAGGGGAGGGGACAGAGGGTAGGTAAGCTGAGGGCTGGGGCCCATCCTCCCTGGGGACAGCCCACCGCCTGGGGGCTGGAGGAAACCACCTGCTCTGAGGGGGTTGTTTTCTGATGCACTCATGACAGGATTACCCAGAGGGTGAGGCAGGGACAGGACTGAGCCGTGGCAGTGGTGGCTAACACCTGTCCAGTGCTTCTTGTAAGTGTTCTTGCATCTCACAGCAGCAGCATGTTTACCCCACTGAACACACGAGGAGTTGAGGCTCAGAGAGGCAAATCGGCTTGCCCAAGGCCACACAGCTTGGCAGAGCCAGGTTTGCATCTGTGTAATCGGTCACAGGCTCCCCTGTGATTGGAGCTCTAGGAGGGGACAGTGCTCTGAGCTCAGTGTGTGGAGGGGGGACACTTAAGCCAGATGTGCTTCCCAAGGAGGCAGGCCCTGACTGAAGCCCAGTGCTGCCCGATGGAGGAAGAGCTTGGACTTCCGCTTGCTCCCCCGGGGGGTGTGGGTTTGGCTCCCGTTCTGTTCTATCTGTGGGATCTCGGATGACCTGCTGACCCCCTCCAGTCTGGTCTGTGCTGTGTGCCAGGTGTTAGTCTTGAATGATGTGGCTCAGGTAAGCATCCTCGGGTGCGTGTCAGGTGGACCCTGGGGACACTGACTCCTCCCTGCCCCCCAGGGGGAGCGCATCTGCCTGATCCGCAAGGTGAACGAGAACTGGTACGAGGGGCGCATCTCGGGCACCGGGCGCCAGGGCATCTTCCCTGCCAGCTACGTGCAGGTGTCCCGCGAGCCCCGGCTCCGGGTCTGTGAAGACAGCTCCCAGCTCCCTGCATCTCCCCGCCTGACCACCACTGCCCATCTGGCCCGGCACCCCACCTCTCCCTCCGTACCGTGCAGCCCAGCTGACCCCACCGACTGGGGGGGCCGGACCTCCCCCCGCCGCACCGGCTTCTCCTTCCCCATCCAGGAGTCCAGACCCCAGACCCAGGTGAGGTGGCCTGTCCCCCACCCTGTCCCCCATCTGACACTGGGGGTGAGGCAGCTGGGCCAAACCGAGCATTGCAGCCCCACCCCGACCTTGGGAACTCCAGGCCCCTTAAGTTAATGGTGGCCAGTGAGCTCCAGCCCAGGAAAACGAGGGCAACCAGCCAGTTCTAGGTAGGTCCCCCAAAGCCACCCACTGTGTCACACCAGACCACTCTGTCCTGATGCCAGTGTTCATCTCTGGGAAGGAGGTGCAGGGAGTCAGGGCTCTGTCATTTGCCTGCTGTGTGACCTGGGCAGGTGACTTGTGCTCTGTGGGTTTGGGTTTTCCCCCTGTGAAGTGGGGTAATGATCCCACTGTGGTGGGTGGTCGGGGAGATGTGGGCTGAGGTTTCTCTTAGCTGAAGGGCAAGACAGCTCCACTCCTGAGCTGGCATGCTCCTGGCTGTGCTGGCTCCCATGTGCATCCACTCGCCAGGGGCTGAGCACACATAACGAGCAGGGACTCTGCCTAGGTCCCAGCTTTGTCCATGCTGGCACCTGAAAATCCAGTCACTGACCCCACCTGGACCAGGGGACTTGGGGGATAACGTGAGGCAGTGTGGACGATGCTCAACAGGGAGGCGGGCCTCCCATTTCTCTTCCCTCATTCTTCCTCTCTGGAACCCTTCTTTCCTCCTGTGGATCCCCAGAATCTCAGCACCTCTGGGCCATCCCTGTCCCACTCTCGAGGGTCCAGCCGTCCCCTGGACATGGGAGCCTCCTCCCCCAACACCATGCAGATACACTGGACGCCGTGAGTACCGTCTGAGGGCTCTTGGCCAGGGGTGGGGATCAGTGCCGAGCACACTGACCCATACCTCACCCTTCCCCACCCTTGGGAAACTTGTACTAGGGGGGGCTTGTCCTTGCAGAGCTTATAGGTGATTTGGGGGCAAGACAGGAGAGCGTGCGGGGCCTTGGGAAACTCGGGAAGTGGCAACTCCTGGTAGAACCGCCCACCTGGTGTGGGACAAAGGGGTGAAGTCTCTGGCTGCCATAGTGATGTCTCCTGCAGGTACCGGGCCATGTACCAGTATAGGCCTCAGAACGAGGATGAGCTGGAGCTTCGTGAGGGGGACCGAGTGGATGTCATGCAGCAGTGTGATGATGGCTGGTTTGTGGGTATGTGGGTCTGGGGAATGGGCTGGGGGCTGGCCCCAAAAGGTGTCTCGGGGTCCCCAGGGGCATTTGTGGGCTGTTGCTGCCTGTCCACGCTGGTTCAGCAAAGATGCTTGGCCTGAGCGCCTCCACTCAGCATCTGACCTGACTCCGGAGCTTTCCCAAAGCCAGTGTTCTTTGAGCTGCCTTCCTGGTGCCCTGAGGAGGGATGAGGCTCAAAGGAAACTGGTCCCAGTGCAGGACCGTCGACAGGCCACTGTCTGCTCAGGGCAGGTGTCTGCCCCAGCCCCTGCTCCTTCTCACGGCACGCAGACTCCTGGGGAGGGCTGGTGGTGGGGACCAGGTCTCACACAGGGGCATATTCTCCACCTCCCTGCCCCAGCCTGCTCCTCCAGCCTCAGGAGAGGAGGGAGTAACTGTCCCAGGGCAGTTCAGGCAGAGGATAATATAAGAAACCTCAGTTGGCTCTGGCCTGGTTCAAAGTGACCTGCCCCCCAGGCCTCACCTGGCCTGCTTCCCAATAGTGGACAGGTTCTGTCCAGGCCTCAGCTTCAAAGTATGGGCCAAGTAGAGTGAAGAGCCAGAATCACCCCCCACCCCCTGCAATAAATGGGCTCTGGAGCCAAAGGGTTAGGGGACAACGGGGCGGGGGGGTATGGGTGTAGTCCCTTGACCAGGCAGGCTGCGCTTTCTGATCTGAATCCCAATACCTCAGTGCTGACCAAGCTTCTGACACCCAGGATTATTAAGCACTAACCTGTTAGGAGTCCTTCTCTGCTGAGAGGTGGCTTGAGCACATTCTCATTTTACTGTCTACACTTCTGCTTCTGAGTTATTTTTTTAAACACGACTAACAAGATTTTACACGTTTCTATAGTCAAGAAGAAAAAACAGCGCTCTTGTGGTGTAAGCCACAGTGCTCCAGAGGAATGGCTTGCACCTGCTCTGTCTGTGTGGCAGCCACTAGCCACGTGTAGCCGCTTGGGTTTAAATTAGTTGAAATGAAAGAAAATAAAAAAGTTCTTGAGTGGCACCTGCACATTTTACGTGCTTATTGCCACCTGCAGCTGTGGTCATGTTTGGACAGTGCAGGCCAGGGAGGTGTCCTGGAGGACAGGGGCCTGGATGGGCAGGGGACTGACTTAGGGAGGCTGATGGGAAAACAAGGCACTCTGGGTGGAGCAAGAGCTCAGGAGGCAGGAAGTCCAGATGGCAACCTGGAAGGGAGTCCACCCAAGTTCTGGTTTCACTTCTTTCTGTACTCCTGTGTTTCTAGCATCCCACTTTCACCCCAGAACACAGGATTCCTTGAGACTGAAGCAGATGAGAGACCTAGATGACAGTCCCAACTCTATTCCTAAACAGCCAAGTGGTTTGGGGGAAATTATTCCCTGGACCTTCTCTTGGGCCCTACCTGCCCATCTCTGAAACGCGGGTGCCATACTAAACCAGAGCGTTTCCTCCCAATATAAGTTCTGTGATTCATCCTGCGGCTTCCCGGAAGAACGGTGGAGTATGCAGTGCTCTGTGCAAAGCTGTGCACGTTTGTTAATTGCTCTGATTCTTTGATTATGGAATTTAGGGAGTGTAGTTTTGCCCGCCTAAGCTTCTGCCACTAGGGGGCAGGAATGAGGAAGGCAAACCAATTCCACGCCTCCCTGGGACTCTCCCTGCAGTTCTGGGCCCTGCCAGCAGGGGACCCGTCCCTCACCCCTACATTTGCTGTTACATGAAGGAGCCTGGGGGATGCTCTTTCTGTCTTTCCTCTTTCAGGTGTCTCCCGGAGGACCCAGAAATTTGGGACATTCCCTGGAAATTATGTAGCCCCGGTGTGAGTGGTCTCCATGGCAACTTGGAGCCAGCCAGGATGGGGTGGGGAGCAGTAGCACTTACAGGAGGGAGTAGGGTCCCCACATCATCCTCCTCCAGACCTGCTCTCCCAGCATCTGCAGAGACCCCCGCAGCCTTCCCTTGGAGCCCCTTCAAAGCCCCATGGACTGATTCCCACCCACAACTCACAGGCATTCCTCTGAAAGCCCCTTCACCCCCACCCCCGCTCCCCAAATACAGAGGTCTGCTTTGAAGTGGAGACTGTTTCCAGGCCTTATTAAGACCAGACTCCTAGCCTCCCACCCCCACCCGCCATTGCCTTTCCTCTAACAGGGACCGGCTCCGGGCTTCACCCCCGTGGGGTTCCTCTAACAAGGATCAGCCTCCTAACCTGATGCAGACCAAAGGCCTCCAGCGCCTGCAGGACTTCCTCCCCTTTCTCACCAGCTAGCCTGCTGCCCCTTTGCCTTCTGGCCTCCAGCTGGGCCTGGGAGCGAGGTGGGGGACAGATGCAGCCCCTTCTTAGCCTTCAAGCACTAGCGAGAGGCCTGTCGCCTCAAGGCCTCTGCTTCCCAGAGGCTGCCGAGGTCTGGGCCTGGGTTCTGCACATCCTCCTGTGGCCACGGTGTCCAGCACCACTGGCCTCTCCCAGACAATCCACAGGGAGACTTTGCTGCGCTCTTGCCTCCCAGCTCTCCTCCATGTTCAAAGTCCCTCTGGAAGATGATGTAAAATAAATCTGGATACCAGGGCCCTTGTCTCTTGAGTCTTTTTCCTCTGGGGTGGGAGAGGCCTCCTGCTTGGGATTGTGTGGATTCCTTCTGCAGTGGGCTGTGCAGATAGGTGTGCACGAGTTCTCAGCCCTCAGGGTGTGGGGGATGGGCAGCCCCCAGGACTGGGCAGCTGATTGACAAGAAGTGCTGAGAACCAACGTCACAGGGGCCAGGATGAGGTCTGTGGAAGTCGCCAGAGCCGGGAACTGAATGTGGCCTTGTTTGTAGACTGTTTTGATTCTGGAATGGCCACTGTGGGGTTGCTGGACTAGATGACATTCTAACTGTTCTGCTAATGTTTTCCTTCTGTGCACTCCATTTCCACACTGATGCCCTTGTGTGTTTATTCTTTGGGCTCAAGTTTTTGAGCAGTTGGTTTCAGGAAGCTGGGAGTGGTGGGGCACAGCCAGGCAAAGCAACTCTTTTTGTCCTCAGTTTTAGAGTCCTGAGGCTGGGTGGCTCCTGGGGACCATCAATGATGGCACAGCCCTGGTCTAACTGCTCCTCCAAAAAAGGAAAGCTCCATTCTTGGGCTGCTGCTGAGAGTGGATCAGGGAGTGCTGTAAGCATAATAGCTGGCAGGTCATGATTCCTTTTTTATATGTATTTTTTTAGTTGTCGGTGGAGCTTTTTTATTTTATTTTTATGTGGTGCTAAGGATGAAACCCAGTGCCTCACACATGCTAGGCAAGTGCTCTGCCACTGAGCCCCAGCCCCAGCCCTCATGCTTCCTTTTTACAGGAAAGACTGAGGCTCTGAGATATTCAGGTGTCTGGGGCAAATCAGTCTTAAATGCTGGCACAATTGATATAATGCCCAGGTAATGCTTTTCCAGAGGTTCTGAGGTGGGTCACCCAGGAATTCAGGGACTGCCTTGGGGTGGCCCAGGTTTAGGCTGCTTTTATGTTCTGGTCTGTCATTTAAGATGCCCCCACCCCAGGGTGGGGAAAGCTGGTGGCTGAAGTGAAGGGTGGAGATGCCTGGTTTTGTCAGGACAGAGGGGAGGGCCTGGGCCCACAGGGCAGTGGCCTGGCCCTGCAGGTTACTTAAGCCTGGGTGGGGCAGCTTGCTCTCCATCCATTTCCTCCACCCAGCACTTACCTCCACCTGGCTCCAAGTTGGCAGTTCCTGTCCTTGATTAGAAGTGACCACTCTTTAGGAACCTGCTAGTCTGTGTTGGATCCCCCATCCTGGCTCTATTTACGTTCCCTGAAGCCCTCATGAAACATCATAGGGTTGAGATTCCTTTTCCCTTAGGAGCCAAATCCATACCCTTGCTTTTTTGTATGGGATCCTGGAAACTTCCAGGCAGCAAAGGAACCCTCTACTCCCCTCCCCGCAGGCTGCCACCACTCTAGTCTGTAAGATAGTCACTTTTGTGGCTGGCATGAGGGCGTAGGTGAAGGGAGGGTCAGAGATTTCTGGGGATGGTTTACTCCATCAGGTGATGAGAGTGACTTGTACCCGGGGCAGAGGGTCACTTAGAGCAGGACAGGTCTCTTCTGTGTCACAGTCATGACCCAGGTCAGCTGACTTGTCCTTGTGGTGGGTTTTGTGAATGCACAACTCCTAGAGCAGGAAACGCTGCAGATGAACCTGTAGATGTTTATAGACTGTCCAAAGCGCACTGGAGGACGAGCCCCTTGAGGACCACGTGACTCAGTGCCTGGCACACAGTGGACACTCAAGATATTTGTTGAATGAATGTGTGTGTGTGTGTGTGTTACTGGGGATTGAACCTCAGCCTTTTTTTTTTTTTCTGTACCAGGGATTGAACTCAGAGCACTGGACCACTAAGCCACATCCCTAGCCCTATTTTTATATTTTTTTTTGAGACAGGGGCTCACTAAGTTGAATTTACTTGCCATCTTCCTTCCTCAGCCTAAATAGCTGGGATTACAGGTGAAAACTACCACACCTGGCTTGAATCTTTGAATCATTGAGTTGAATAGATAAATTTCCCTTCCTTTGTTCTCCCTTCCCGCCTGCCACCTCCTCCACCCTCTCATTTGTGGCAAGCACTCTGTTTTTACACCTCTTTGTAATCCCTGGACTTTGCCTATGAAGAACAATCTACACGATGGGAGGGTAAGCTAGGCATTACTGTGTGGGGAAACTGAGGCCTGGGAGAGCCGGGAACTGTGCCCATGGTCACACAGTAAGAGGTAGATGAGGCATTTGAGGCTAGATTTGTGTGACCCCCCAAGGCTGTGGTTGCCCTGCTTGGATTTCTGCCTCCCTCAAGGGGCTTCCAGGGGCTGGAGGTGCCCTCAGTGGGAAAACATGTGCTTAGCATCCAGGAGGCCCCGGCTTCCATGCCCAGGACACACACACAAAAAGGTGGTGGATGCTTCCAATCTAGCCGGGGAGGCAGAGCAGGTGCAGCAGGCAAAGTGCCCCACCAGGAGGCCCAGGATTACTCCACAGGAGAGTGGTTTACACACCCAGACAGAGGCTGTGGGAGGTGGGGCCAGGGAGGTGGCAGGGCAGAGGTGGCTGGACAGAGTACAGGAGGATGAGATGGGGACAGGGTAAGTGAGGAGGTGCTGAGGGCACTCCTCACGGAGGAACTCAGAGGAATGACTCACACCTGAGGCAGGCAGGTTACAGCTGTGCCCACAGGTGCGTTCCCCAGAGAGCCAAGTTGGGAGACCAGCCGGGGGTGCAGGAGGAGGCTCCCAGGGCCCAGAGTTCTCCAGGGTGAGGATTGCCAGGTATGACTCCGGGGAAACCATGGGCCAGATGGCTCCTCCTGCTTAAGCTGACACCTGAGGCTCCTTCTTGGCTGTCCTGTCCTGATCCCTAGAGCTGGGATTGTAAATGGTTGGCAGAGGAGAAGGGGCAGGCAGAACCAGGGGTGGTTGTTCACAATGGTCCACCCCAGCCAGGTCAGCAGGAAAGCAGAGGCGCTGGTGACCCCCAGTCAGGAGTCTCACTTCATCTTCTCCAGGCCACCCTGCACAAAGCAGGCTTATGGGGTATCTCAAGCAGGGAAGCTGCAAAGAAGGGACGACCGTGGGCCATGCCAAGCCAGCAAGTCGGCTGGCTTGGCCGTCCAGGAAGGGAGGGCGGAACGGTGGCCCTGGCTTGGGATTTGTGGGTGTCGAGACCGCATCTGCGCCAGCGTGGGAGCTGGGGTGGCGGAGGAGCCTGGAAGACCGCCACAGACCGGCCAGCCCTCTCCCGCTCCAGGCCCAGGCTGGGGGGCTCGAGGGCCCTTTTTGTAAAAGGGGCACGCGACCTGCCCGAGGGAGCTGTCTGCCGAAGGGGAGAGGGGTTGTCACTTGAACAGCTCCGCTGCATTCAGGGGCGTTCGGGAGGATGCGGGCACCTCGGGAGGACGACGGCAGCCTTGAGGGGTCTCTGGGGAGAGTCTGCCTCCATCTCTCCAGCGGGGCGCGGGCCAGGTGGCAGCGCCTGGGCTCAGCGGCGCGGAGGAGGCGGCTTCCCGGGCCAGGGGCGGCGGCAGGGGCGGCCCCGGGATCACATGGGCGGAGGCAGGTCCCGGAGCCCCGGGCGGGCTCTCCCCAGAGTCGGGCGGACAGCGCGGCGGAGCGGCGGCGGGTCCTCGCCCTCCTTTCCTGCCTGCCTCCTTCCCTCCCCTCCCCGGCCTGGCTGCCCTGGCCGACAGGTGAGCGGCAGCCAGGCCCGTCCTCGGCCCACAGCCCCTTTCCCTGCGGCCAGTCCTCGGCGTGCCCCCCACCCCGTGGCCTGTGCTCCACCTCCAGCCCCCTGCCCGCGGGGGTACTTTGGCCTTAGAGGGAAGAAAGCTCCAGAACTGGGAGAGCCGGGCCGACAGGCTGGGCTCCTCCCTGCGGCACCAACAGCGCGGACAGCCGGAGTCCACTGGCCGGCGCAAAGGTCTGGGAATCTCAGGGCATTTGCGAGCCACCAGCACCAGGCCTTGGGGACTGAGGGCCTGCGAACCTGGGGACTTGGGGAGGTACAGAGCCCACGCTTGGGCAAAAGGGAAGCCAACTGATAGGGGAGGGGCAGACAGACTCGCCAGCCAGAGTATCCCCCTCCCCAGGGGCCCCGTGTTCATGAGAGGTCAGGCAGCCCTTGCAGGCTCTGGACCTCCCCAGGGGCAGCCTCAGGATGGGTGCTGGGCTGGGTGGTGCTCAGCCTGGCATTGCAGCTTCCTGCCAGGGTTGGCTCCTGGCTCCAGACCTAGAGGCTCAGGAAATCCCACAAGGGCCTGGTCTGCAAGGACACTCCCTTGCCCAGCAGAGGGGGCAGTGGATGGGAGGCCTGTGGCCCCAGCTGGCAGGCAGCATCAGCCCTCTCTCCCTGCTGGCCAGTAGCGGGGTGGGTGTGCCCCGCTCTGCAGATGAGCCTTGGCCTCCTTGCTGGGGCTGTTCAGAGGGCAGCAGGCCCCTGGGGGCGGTGGAAAGTGGATCTTCTCCATCTGAATCACATTGTCAGGGCCTGGGCAGGCAGCCAGGAGGCCCTTCTGAAGACCTGACCTGACCCAAGCCAGCCCCCAACCTGGTCAGATTTTTACATAGTCTGGTGGGGCCACCCCATTCTTTGCTGTCCCTCCTGTGCCAGAGCCTGGCTCTACCCAGGCCACCCTCCTGCCCTCCCCCAGAGTGGGGAGGAAGTACCTTGTGCTGTCGGTTTTGGGGACAGGAAGCAAGCACTTGAGGGACTAAGTTCTGATGGTGGAGGAGGGGACAGGGAGGAAATGCAGACATCTTCTACCACTTGCCAGTCACTGCCCACCCATTTTCCAGCAAGGCCCTGTGTGGACTGGGGACAGCAGCCTCTTGGGAGCTCCTGGGCTGAAGACCTAGGAAGGGGGAACTTGTAGTCACAGTTTCCCAGGGTGGGGGGAAGTGAAACTTTGGGGTGAGGGAGGGACTTAGTCATTTCCTCTACCCACCCCTAGCCCCTGACGTTCTGCTTGGGGACCTGTCACCCTCTTCTCCCTTTTGCTTCCAGTAGGTTGCAGGGAGTGAACCCCACCTTCGAGTCCTCTCTTCCTCAAGCATGGCACTGACAGTGGATGTGCTGGGGCCAGCACCCTGGGGCTTCCGCATCACCGGGGGCAGGGATTTCCACACGCCCATCAGGGTGACCAAGGTAAGGACTGGTTTGGGGAGATAAGGAGCTACCCCCAGAGTCGCTCTGCCCTGTCTACCCGGGGCCCCACAAATGCCTCTTTTGTTTTGTACTGGAGTCTGAGCCCTGCCGCTGGCAGTGTGCGCAGGGGAAGGCTGGCACTGTTGCCGTGGGGACTTGGGGCCACTTTAGGAACTAGCTTCTAGGGGGTGAAAGGGAGTGGGCCAAGGAGAGGGCTTGCCCTTTTCTCCTTGGTTACTAATCCTACACCTGCTGACAGTCATTTTGGGTGGTTTTAGGACAAGAGGCCTCCTGAGCTCTTGACAGTCTCCTCTTGACCCAGGCCGGGAGCTTTCCCACAGAGGGCGGTGTGCAGGCCGCCACCTGCAAGGTGTGATTTGCACAGGCAGAGCTCTTTATCCGAAAGTATTTCCCAGCTCAGGTCCTGAAAGTCTGCCACCACACATTCCTGGGAGGCCTTGGTTTGAAGCCCCGGTGTGCTGAGCCTGAGAGGAGAGGCTGCCACTGGAGCTTCTGGAGGGGATTAACTAACTGGTTAGCTGGACAGACAGTGAAGGGCACAGAGAGGGGTGTGGGTGTCAAAGGTTCAGCCCAGCTTCTTCTGTGCTTCTTGAGCAGCAGAGGGGAGTCTCCTTCTGCTCCATCCCTCCCCCAAGTGCTCCACGGGCTCAGTGTGGGTACTGGAGACTCACCTGCTCCTTATCCCTGGCAGGTAACTGAACGGGGCAAGGCAGAGGCCGCTGACCTCCGGCCTGGTGACATCATCTTGGCCATTAATGGGGAGAGTGCAGAGGGCATGCTTCATGCTGAGGCGCAGAGCAAGATCCGTCAGAGTGCCTCACCCCTGAGACTACAGCTGGACAGGTAGGCCTCTCCACTTCCCCAGGCCTGTGGGCCTCCCCTGCCCCTCCGCAGGCCCACTGCCAGACAGCTGCCTCACTCCACCTGGCCTTCCCGGTCTTTTTGGCACATGTCTGAGAAGGCTCCAGGCCCACGGCAGAGGGAGAGGGAAGCTGGTGGGCTGAAGGGTGTCCCTTTGGCCAGCTGGGAAAGGTGGGCGCCAGGCTGGGCGTGCAGCCACAGGCTGGGCAGGGTAAGCTGGCACCAGCTACCTGGAAGCCCGGGTTTGACAGGTTCCCGAGAGGGTGCAGGGTGCAGGGTGTGGGCATGAAGTGGATTGAAGAGGGGAAACTTCTAAGGAAGGTGTGTCCTAAGGTCTCCAGGACCCTTGCCTATAAGAGGAGGTGCCTTTTATTCAGATCCAGGTGGAGGAAAGGAATTTGGGCCTCTCTTCTCATGGAACTCATGCATCCTTCCCCATCACCAATCTGGGCTCTTGTTGGGGAAGGACGATTCCTGGGCTTATGGGATTTTGAACCTGGAGGCCAGGGTTGTGGGGGAACAAGTGGCTTCCTGGGGTGGGACAGCACAGTGAGTCAGGGATCAGGAATGCTGGGAGATTCCACAGTCAGGAGAGCCCAGAGGGCAGGCCTGGAACCTGAGTTAGATACCTCCCTCCTCTCTGCCATCACTCCTCCTGCCAGGCCCTCTCTGCCTGTCCCCTCCTCACCCAAGGGCCCTGCCCTGAGGTGCTGCAGAAGCTGGCTCCCTTCGTGCCACTCTGGGGAGTGGGACCCAGGGAAGGAGGGGGGCGAGTACCTTATGGCACCCGGGGATGGAATCAAAATCTACAGGAGGTGGCAGCTTGTGACGCAGGAGGGATGGGAGCTGCTGACGCCATCATTCCCTCTCAGGTCCCTCTGGGGACCACGTACTCCGGCCTCCAGCTCCACCCCAGGCAAGCCACAGCTCCAGGTCTCCTGCTTCCTTTGCTGAACCCCCTCTTCACCCCTCCCACTGGCCTTCAGAAGCTCTGGGGCAGGAAGCAGGGTCCCCATTCCTCACAAGGAGGCAGAGGTTCCTGCTGACTGACTTCTTCAGCAATGGCTAGAAGTCTGGGAGCAGTGGAGCATGCAGTCATGGGGTGGCAGGGATGGGAAGTGGGGGCTCTCGCCACCTCCCATTTAAGGTCTCAGCTGGCCACCCTGGTAGGGGCTTGGAAGAGGGTCCCTGGAGCAGGGAAGCCCACTCGCCGGCTGCCACTGTTGGTGGGGAGAGGATCTGCTTGTTTCCTGGTTCTCCAGGCCCTTCAGCTACCTGCCAGAGAGGGAGAGGAGGTCCACCCTTTCAGGGTGAATCCTGAAGAAGGGACCCTGAGGGACCTCTCAGAGGCATTCAGGCCACCAGTGGTGGGGGAAAGTGAGCGTCTGGCCCCGTCACTGATGAGCTTGGGGACTGTCAGCCGTTCATTTCCCGTCTCCCAGCTTTAGTTTCTCCATGGGTTAAAACTTAAAGGATTGCCAGGCGCCATGGCACAGGCCTGGAATCCCAACTGCTTGGGAGGTTGAGACAGGAGGATGGTGAGTTCAAACCCAGAGTCAGCAATTCAGTGAGGCCCTAAGCAACTCCAAGAGACCCTATCTCATCTCTAAATAAAATACAAAAAGGGCTGGGGAAGTGGTTCAGTGGTTCAGAGTGCCCCTGGGTTCAATCTCCGGGACCAACAAACACACTTAAAGGATGATTTCTGTGAATTCAGTCATCTTCCCCAGCACTGACCTGCAAACCGATGTAGACCAGTGAAAAGGCTAGGTGGAGTGGGGAAAAAAGAAAAGGAGTGGGATCATGTAAGGAGTTTCTAATGGAATTGAATTTATTGAATATTTTGCTGAAATCACATCTTTTCTATATTTTGGAGCTGTTCTGTCCTTTTAAAAAACGATGGTGGTCGTTGATGACATTGTTTGACTTGGATTTGGCTACGTCTACAGCTGACCGACCGCCTGATGTCCGAATGTCCTGGATGTTCTGCAAGTCTTGAGAACCAGATTCTGGGGACAGCATCGTCACAAGCTGTAGGGGGTTGGAGGCCAGGACTCCTGTGACACTGTTTTTCCTCTTGTTCCTTCAGGTCTGGGGCCGCCTCTCCTGGGCAGACCAACGGGGAGGGTTCCTTGGAAGTGCTGGCAACTCGCTTCCAGGTAAGCCAGAGCCGCGGAACCAGGAGCCCTGTCACCTGACCACACCAGGGATGAGGCCTGAGGGAGCCGCTCTTCTCTCCACAGGGGTCTCTGAGGACACACCTTGACAGCCAGTCCTCCCTGAGGTCTGCCTACTCCAGCCCAGCCTCCCTCAGCCCCCGGCCAGGCAGCCCCTTCTCCACCCCGCCTCCCGCCAGCCCGCTGGCCCCGGCTGGAGAGGTAGTGACTGCCCACAGGTGAGTGCAGCTGGTGGGTAGGTGCCACCCTGACCTCCTGGGCCCCAGGACCTGGGCCAGGCCCCTCAGAGTTCAGTAGCTACATTTGGGGACCCTGAAGGTCCCTCCTCATCCCGGGGAAGGCTGCGCGGACCCCTGCGCCCACTCTCCATTTCTTCCTTTTCAGTTTCCAGAGTCTGACGCACTCACCGGGCCTTGCTGCTGCTGACCGACTCTCCTACGGGGGCCGCCCCGCAGGCCGACAGGTGAGGAGGCCAGGGGGAGGAGGAGCGCCTTCCTTTTCCCCCTGGCAGCCTAGGTGCCCCGGGGCTGCAGGCAGCTGGTGCCACCTGGGCAGCCTGTGGGGCCATCTCCTAGTGACAGAGGCTGTTGCTTCTGGTGGGCCACATGGAGTGCCTGAGACCTGCCTCCCGTCCACCCCAGTCCTGCTGGCACCCCTCCTCCCTGCTCCCTGCTGGGCCACCCTCCCCCCCTTCCTCTGGCTTCCCCTCCTCGGTGTGTTTCTCTTGGGCTGGGGCTGACATAGTTTTGCTGCTGCTGTTGGGATAAATCCCTTTGGCTCTGGCTGCATCTCTCGAACACATTCCTCCCCCCCCCAAGCCCCCAGCTCCCATCCCCCTCCTCCTTCCCGCTCTGCTCTTGGTCAGGTCAGCGCTGATGACCCCCTCGGGACTGTGGTTCTGCCCCAGGCTGCCCTTGGCTCGCTCTCTGTCTGCCTCCCTTCTTTGCTGGATTCCTCCTCCACCCAGGTCCCATGTCCGCTGGTGGCATTTCTCCTCCCCAAGGACAGGGGTGAGGGCGGGCGTGAGGCAGCAAGAGTCTTGGGCCACAGCTGCTGGGGGCAGCATGGGTGGGGGCATGTCCAGCCTTTAGGGTGAAGGGGATGAGGCCCAGCTGCTGAAATCTTACCTCCGGCTTGATTCTTCCTTCCAGAAAGCAGAGCCTGGGGGTGGGGCTGGGGCTGGGCCTGGGGAGGGCTCTAGGAACTGGGAGCTTTGGAGAAGGAATGGGAAGGGTCCTCTGGGGCTGCCCAGTGGGGGTTCCTTGGTAACCAGCCCTGTGCCTGCCTCATTGTCAGCCTGAGGCTACTATGGGAGTAGAGAGGTGCTCCAAGAAATCCCAGTCTTTAAAGAATTTAAGACGCAGTTGTCCAGATAAGACAAATATGCAGAGCAGTTTGGGAACAATTAAGCACTAGACAGTGTGGTATTAATTACAAAAGAAGGAGGTGTTCTGGAAGGGGAGAGACAAATGTGGGGGGTGGGCAGAAAAAGCTTCATTAGGAATTTTTCTGGTCACTGGAGGGAACACAGGATGGGCTTTATAGGATGATGGGCAATAGGCACTCTGGGAGAGGGGGGGACATGGGGCCCAGGAGAGACCTGGTATATTTGGGGGTGGGGGAATCTGAGTTTTTGTCCCAGACAAGCTGGGAATGACCTTGGCTTAGCGTTGGAGGGCATGTCCCTCCTGACTGCTTTCTGTCTGATTCTCCTGGGGACTGTCATCTCTGTAGGACTCTGGTACTCATGGACAGGCCTTCCTGGTCTCCTTCCTTCATGTCCCCAGCCATGAGCAAGGAAGGGATGTGGGTGGCCTGGGGGAGTGGGTTTCAAACTAGCAGTACCTGGGAACTTGTTAGAAATGCACATTCTCAGTTCCAGTCTAGACCTGCTGAATGGGACATGGGTGTGTGTGGGACAGCGATCTGCACTTCAACAAGTCCCCATATTAAAGGGGAGCCCAGGGCTGGGGTGGCAGGGGGACCCCCGATCAGTCTCACCTCTGTTGTAAATTCTGCCATAGACCCTCTTCCTCTCTCGGCCTCAGCCAGACTAGATGGTCTGAGTTCCCTTCTCTGACCCTGAGGACTCCTGTCACTCCTGTGACAAATATTCATGGAGCAGCTGCTTCATGTCAGGCACCCTCTGGGCTCTGAGGATGGTTTGTTGTAGAAAACCAGAAATTCCTATAACCCACAGACTTTGCCTCTGGGCAAGGAGTCACAGGGTCCCACAGCTTCCTCTTGAGTGTCATTGCACTTCAGTGTCTTCGAGGCTCAAAGTTTATGAGAAAGAAGCACATGTGATCTGATTAATTTCCAAAATTTGTTGAACCACAGAGTTTCTCCTGGCACCCCTCCCCTACCCCATACCTGCCACTCAAGTTCCCAGAACTAGAGGGGCATTGGCTGCTCTTAGGCAGGTGAGGAGAGAGAAGCCTTCCTGGTCTTGGAGATAAAGGGTCATTCTGGGAAGGGAGGGGAGGAGGCAAGGCAGGCCCCCTCCAAATGAGAGTATTGGCCCCCCAGAAAGGGCTGGGAGATGGAGCGTGTGGAGGTACCTTGACCTGGCCGTGGCTCCTGACTGGCTGGAGATGTGGAGAATCTAGGGTGTAGGACACCATAGCCCTTCTGGAAACTGCAAATTGACCACTGTGGGCAAGCACACGCATTGGGGAGCCAATGCCAAGGCTCCCTCCCTCCCTCTGTCTGGGAATGAAAGCTTGGCTCCCGAGGGGACCTAGGCTGGATGTTAGCCCTTCATCTGCTGCAGGCTGGTGCCCAGTGGAGGGCACGTGCTGTTCTGTCTGGAGAGGTGATGTTATTGTTTGTGGTGCTGGTGAGGGAACGCAAGGCTTTAGAATACTCAGTCCTTTGAGAATAGGCAAGCGCTCTACCACCCAGTTAAACCACAGCCTGAGACACTGTCCTTAAGGACCCCAGGCCCAGTTCTTCAATCAACCACCCAGAGCCGGGCTGTATCTAGGCACTTGAGTGTGAAGTCCCAGTTCTGCTTCTGACACCCAGGTGGGTTGAACCAGTTACTGTTCCCTCCTGACCCTCAGTCCCTTTACCTATAGAGCATTGTGGGTAAGAACCCTAGAAGCAGCTGGCCATGGTGGTAAATGCTGTAATTCCAGTTACTATGGAGGCTGAAGCAGGAGGATTGCAAGTTTGAATCCAGCCTCAGCAACTTAGGGAGACCCTCAGCAACTAAGCAAAATCCTGTCTTAAAATAAAATAAAAAGGGCTGAGAATGTGTAACTCAGTTGTAAAGTGCCCCTGGGTTCAATTCCTAGTTCAAAAAGGCAAACAGAAAGACCCAGGAGCAGGAATAGGAACTGCTGAAAGAAGATCAGTGGCTGAAGGTCTTGGGCTGTCTTTCTGAAGATTCTGAAGTTCTTCTGGCTTAAGGAAAGATTCGTGCCGTTTTAAATTTTGACTTCATAATTCGTCCTTGACCTTGAGTAGTAAAGTGCAAGTGCGGGAACCTGGCTTGTCAGGATCTCTGCCCTGGGACCAGGTCTCCCTGGCCTGCTTGGTTACCTCCTCTTCATTAGCTGGTACCCTGTCTTCCACTTAGTGGCCTCTGGATGGGGTTGGCAAGGAAGGGGATAGAATGGGAGAGGATACTGAAGTGCTGGCCAGAAACCAGCCTCAAGGGTTGACAAGGAGGTTGAAAGTGAGGAAATTCTGGAGACTGGATGGATGGGTATCCCTGGGGCCAGGGTGTGGACTCCGAATGGGCTTGGCTCCTGAAGTTCTGTGGGGCAGGATCAGACCTCCCAGGGCAGATGGGCGAGGCCCAGGCAGCCCAGAGCCTGGCCCTCTCCTGAGAAGGAGCAGCAGGGCAGCGCAGCGTGTGTGGCAGGAGGCCTGCCCAGCCCCGTCCTGTCTCCTTGGCTCCACCCCTTTGTTTCCATGGCCTCACTGCAGAACCGCAGCTGGCTTCCTCTGCTTTTCTGTGGGATCAGAGCCCTAACAGGTAGCTTGACCTAACAGAGAGGGGTGTGCTGCCTAGAGGGATGTCAGGATTTGGTCGCTTGGCATCTATCTCTGCCTCTTGCTCAGTCCCCTAGCAGAAGCCACATGCCTCAGTAGCTGGGCATTGGCCTCCCTTGGGTGCTGGAACCCAGCAGCCCTGGTGCCCTGGCCCTGAGGGTGGGGCAGGGTGCCTGTTGCTTGCAAGGGTCCTGCTGCTCTGTGGGGACCGGGCGCCCCCTGGTGTTGGTCTGGGTAGCAGCATCTGGCAGCGCCCGTGGGCGCGTCGGCCAGGGCCCGGCGCTGACTCCTCCCGCTGCTCTCCTCCCGCTGCTCTCCTCCCACAGGCTGGTCTCGGCCGTGCTGGCGACTCGGCTGTGCGGGTGCTGCCGCCTTCTCCGGACCCCCGGTCCTCAAGCCCCAGGTTCAGGTACCAGCAGACCTTGCAGGGTGGGATGGGTACCTGGAGGACCTAAGAAGGACAGGTGGGAAACTGGGATGGGGTCCCCGCCCCCCAAAGCCTGGTGGGCTCTCCTCCAGTTCCCAGAACACCCTCCCCCATGCTCTTCTGACCGGAGGGTGGTCTGAACACCCCGGCCTGGGACCCTCATCCTGGCTGCCCCACCCTGCAGTGTGGACTCGGAGGCAGGGAGCTGCCTCCTGGAAGAGGACTCAGAAGTGTTCAAGATGCTGCAGGAAAACCGTGAATCGCGGGTGGCCCCGAGGCAGTCCAGCTCCTTTAGGCTCCTGCAGGAAGCTCTGGAGGCTGAGGAGAGAGGTGAGGCCGCAGGGCTCTGTGGGAAGGTGATGCCCTGGGCCTCTGGGGATCCGACTTCACAGGCGAAGGAAGTGGTGTTTCTTAAATGTCTATTAAGTGCTCATCACAGGACTGGGGGCAGGGGAGCACATGCCAAGCCACAGTCCCTGTCCTTAATGAGCTCACAGTCATCTCAGAGTTACCAAGTATGCACACAGAAGGTGGCAGGCTGTGCTGGCTGGGACCAGGAAAGTGCCAAGGGAGTGGGCAGTGGGCACTGGGGCCTGGGTCTCTATGAGGGCTTCTTGGAGGAAGAGGGATTCAACTTGGCCCTGAAAGGAGACCGAGATTTCAATCAACAGCCTTAAGAAGGTGGCCTGGGAACACTGGAATGTGGAGGCCTACAGCCAGAGGGCTGATGGGCGTGGCCCGAGAGAATAGCCTGGCCTGGCAGCCGGGAGGAAGGTCCCTGTGATGAGGGCCTCTGGAGCCAGGCTGAGGAGCACTCTAACCAGGAGAGTCAGGGGGGTCCCCTTGCCTGGTGAGGTGCCACCAGGAGCAAACAGGACCGTGTGGGCTCCATCCAGCCTTTTGTTATTCATTTGATGAACACTGATGTGCAGGATGTGACCCTCTGCTCCTGAGCAGCTCTTTGTACTGGGGCAAACAGGCCTGGCCAGCTCTCAAGGAAGTAGATGCTGTAGGATCAGTGTTTCAGGCGGTCAGGAGGAATGCACTTTGGAATAGCAGAGACAGAGACTGCCTCATCCAAGGGGAGAGAGGAAGAGAGAGAGATGATGGAACAGGCAGGAGAGGATTTGGAGGTGCAGAATGACCAGTCCCTGGTGGCTGGTTCCAGCTCTGATGTGTAGCTCCTAGGAGTGTTTACAGATACCTGGAGGCTGCGTGAGAGTTGGAGCAGTTTTTTTCTTTTTTTAATGTTGTGGTGTTGGAGATGGAACTCGGGGTCTCACACACGCTGGGCAAGTGCTCTGCCACTGAGCTACAGCCCAGCCCAGAGCAAATCACAGCAGTTTCACTAAACACAGCTGCTGCTGTGGGTGGTAAACTCTCAAATTTCTGTCCCTCCCCACTCCCAGGTGGGACGCCTGCCTTCCTGCCCAGCTCCCTGAGCCCTCAGACATCCCTGTCCCCCTCCCGGGCTCTGGCCACCCCACCCAAGCTCCACACCTGTGAGAAGTGCAGCACCAGCATTGCGTGAGTGTGGGAGGGCCATGGAGGTGGGGTGCAGCCTGGGGGGCCGGGCAGGGGTGCCCTCAGGCAGGGCTGGGCAACAGTCAAGGACTCTGAAGGGAAGCCCTGGCTGTGGTCTCCGTGGCTTCGAGTCAGACTGTCTGCAGTCTTCTCACAATGAACCACCGCGCTGGCTTCTTCCTGAGCACCTCCCTTTCTCCTCCTCTTTTCCTCCTCCCCATTTCCTCCTTTCTCCCTGGAGGAATGAGAAATGCTACCGCTTTGGGTTTCTCTTCCATAATTTCCAAATTTCTGCTAGGCACAGTGGTACATGCCTGTAATCCCAGCTACTAGGAAGACTGAGGAAGGAGGTTTGCAAGTTGGTGGCCAACTTCAGCAACTTGATGAGACCCTGTCTCAAAATAAAAAAATTAAAAGGGCTGGGAATAGAGCTTAGTGGTAACGAAGGGCCCCTGGGTTCAATCGCAAGTCCAAAAAATAAAAATAAAAAAAATCTAAGCTTCTGACTTGCCCCAGGTCTTGACTCTGGCTCCTTGGGATACGTGACCTTATGCCTGACCCTGTCTCCATCCATCCTGTCCCTGTCCTGACGGTTCTCCTTACCCTGCAGGAACCAGGCAGTGCGCATCCAGGAGGGGCGCTATCGCCACCCCAGCTGCTACACCTGCGCAGACTGTGGGCTGAACTTGAAGATGCGAGGCCACTTCTGGGTGGGCGACGAGCTGTACTGTGAGAAGCATGCCCGCCAGCGCTACGCGGCGCCCACCACCCTGAGCTCTCGGGCCTGAACCCTGCGGTGCTTAGCCCAGCTCCACTTATTACATTTCTGGACATGGCTGTGCCCAGAGCAAGTTGGCAGGGATGAGGTGATGGTGGGTGGTGGCTTTTAAATGAACTAATTTGGGGGGCCCAAGCCCCCTTTGTCCTCGCTGGGTGAGGTCAAGGGCTGGGACTCGATTCGGACTATGGGCACTAAGGGCAGCCCCACCCTCCCTGGCCTTCCCCCTGCAGGACGGGTCCTGTGCCACCGGCTGAAGCGGCCACTGCGTTTGATGCATTTGTGCACAGGGTGGGGCACAGTGTCTAGGACAGGGGTGGGTCAGAGGCTGACGGTATTCACTGTGCAGAGTTTTGACATATGAGCTCTATAAATATATAAACACGGACAAACGCAGATGCCCCCCCCTTTTTTTTCCCCCTGCCCTTGGGTAGGAGCTGCTCCTTGCTACTGGGTAGACTGTGTATTTACCTCTGTGTTCCCATTCCCCCTCTGCCCACCCCACTGCCAGGGTGCAGGATGAGGTGGGGTGATGGAGGGGAAAGAGGGTTGCCTCTGTAGGTGGGGTGGGCACTTCCTTAACCCTTTTGTAGAGATGCTTGTTTTCCGGGGATGATCCCTTATACTAGGGAGGGAATGAGTTTCTTACTGGGGGCCTGGAGATGGGCAGGGATGCTAAGGGACAGGAACAGAGGACCAGAGAGGTGGAGGAAGATTTCTTGGTGAGGCAACTTCGTGCTCAGCTGGAGCTGGGCTAGGCTAGGTCTCTCTGTGGTCCTTACTCTATTTGGTGTGGAGCCGCCAATCCATCTGAGCTGGGTGGGCAGAAGATGGGGGATGTAGAGGGACATGTCTTCTAAAGCACCACCTGCACATGCCTGAGGCTGCCTGCCCCATTCAGAACAAAATCACCATCAATAACCTTGAACTGGTGCTGTAGATTAGCCTTGCCTGGGAGAGAAGATCCGAGCCTCACCTAAGAGATTGCCACTAACTGCCTGTGGACAAGCTGCCACTTCTTTCCAGCAGATGGCTGGCTTCATTTTTTTTTTTTTTTTTTGTACCAGGGATTGTACTCAAGGACACTTAACCACTGAGCCACATCTCCAGCCTTGCCATTGCTGAGGCTGGCTTTGACTTGCGATCCTCCTGCCTCAGCCTCCCAAGTTGCTGGGGTTACAGGTGTGTGCCATCACCCCTGGACCCAACCATTTTTTGTATATTTAGAGACAGGGTCTTACTAAGTTTCTTAGGACCTTGCTAAGTCACTGAAGCTGGCCTTCAAACTTGTGATCCTCCTGCCTCGGCCTTCTGAGCCACTAGGATTAGAGGTGTGTACCACACACCTAGCTGGCTTCATTAATTTTGGGAGAAAAAAGCAATTGTCACAGATAGTGCTAGGTGTGCTTTCCCTGGATGGGGGTGCATTTGAGAGGGCTTGGGGAGCAGAAGTCTCCTGCAAGATTCACCAACCATCTATAGTCCCGATCCTGGAGGACATTTCAGAAAGTTTTATGGGGGCTGCTGGGTGCTCCAGAGCCAGCCTGCCCCCACTCAGCCAGAGATGGGCAGCAGCCTCAGATTTATTTTCACAGAGCAGATCAAAGGTGGCTTCAGAGTGTGTGGGCTCTGATGGCAGCCTTGTGCTATCTGGCTCTTTGGGGAAGGGATCTTGGTGGAGACGGTGTTGCCTCTTTGGGCACCTGTGCATGTAATTTACACGTTGATATAATCGTCTCACCTTTTGCCTGGATGGCTGCCCCAGACAGGCCTTTGTTTTTATAGAAAAGATAAAGACTGGCTGCCCGGCCCAGGAGTCTTGTCTGATGGGAAATGGGGCGGCCTCTTTGATGCCACCTAGTGTCCAGTGCAGCCCATGGTAAGGGAGAATGCTCACGAAAGGGGAATTGTGCTTGCTGGCAAATGCTGACTTGGGCTCTCAGCACAGTGAGAGTATGAACAAGACACATTTCTTGTTTTCCTGGAGATGATGGCCAAGAGGCAGCAATCGAGCTGCCATGAAGAAACACGTGGTAGTGAGTGCTAAGGGCTCTCTTGCTAACTTCAAAGAGGCAGCTGTGGGTGTGACCAGCGCTTGGGTATTGGGCAGGTGGAGGAGAGGGTGACTGTGAATTGAATGCTCAGTTTACAACAGTGGCCTCTGGGCCTCCTGAGCAAACTCGGTTTGAACTTCACCTCAAGGCTGACGGAAGTGTTAAGCAGAAAGTGTGGGTTGAACTCTCAATATGGTTGGATCCCTCCTGTAACAAACTGTGTGGGTTAGAGGTGTCACAGGAGTGGAGGAAGACAAGTGTGGAGAGGGGACACCTGAAAAGGGTGTATCCAGGGGATACAGGTGGGCTGTTGATTGCCACTGGGAAGCAGAGTGGGTCCAAGCTAAAAGACCTCTGGCCCTTGTTCTTGTTGGCATCTGGCTCTCCTCCCAGGGGATCTGAAGGTTTCTTTTGTTTGTTTTGGGGTACCAGGGATTGAACCCAGGGGCACCAGGCCACTGAGCCACATCTCCAGCCCTATTTTGTATTTTACTTAGAGACAGGGTCTCACTGAGTTGCTTAGTGCCTTGCGTTTGCTGAGGCTGGCTTTGAACTTGAAATCCTCCTGCCTCAGCCTCCTGCACCGCTGGGATTACAGGCATGTACCACCACGCCCAGCTGGATCTGAGGGTTTTGATACCAGAGTCCTCTGCAGCCACAGGCACAGCCTGGAAGCAAACTCCTCTGGAAGAAGCAGTTTGTCAGCAGACAAGGTTAGGGGCAGTCTCTGATTTTTACCCTTGCCCTTGTCCCCACCCCAAGCCAGCTGGCTGAGTACCCACTCCCTCTGACCCAGGCTGACCACTTGTGCTACAGTACTTTGTACTTCTCTCTGCATTTGGGACAATACATTCAGAAAGGACACATTTGACTTAGAAGTAGCTGAAGATGGTATCTAATACAACCCCCTTCAGACCGGCCTGGGAAAGTGGTGTTCACAAAGTTATACAGCCAGATAATTAGTGGCTAAAGACGTGCCAGGGACATTTTTAAGGCTCTAACTGCACTCTCACGGCACAGAGGTAGGGCATCCCTGTCATTCTTGTTCTACATGTGAAGAAACTGAGCACCCAGGACTCTACATGGTAAGGGGAGGGGCTGAGAATGGAATGGGAGCCTGCTTCTGGCTTGCTGGGGGTGGGGTTGGGGAAGGGTTGATCCTCTGTCACCAGCGGCAGCCTTCCAGCCGCTGCTCCAGCCACTGCAGGCTACAGTGGGAGGTCAGGCCCCTTTGCCTCTCCAGGCTGGCAGGAGCTAGCTGCCTCCCCCTCTTGGCTTTGCCCTACCCCCACCCCACCCCCCAGGGCCCAGCTGAGCACTGAGCTTGCAGGAAACTCACTTCCTGAAGCTGGGGCTTCCCCACAGAAGAGAGGTGGAGGGATGAGGGCATGGCGGGCCAGCCTGATGGATGACTGCTGAGGCCACATTGTGTCCTAGGAACTTAGGGTAGCTGTTCACCTCATGATATGGGTAGCATATCTTCTAGGTATATGATTCTGGTGGAGGAGGCAGGTCATACAGGGTCAAAGTGTTTTGGGATTGGAGCTGCCACAGCAGAAAACAAAGGGTTCCCCATGTCAGGTTGGGTCCCCATGAGGGCTGTGGCTTTTCCAAAATAGCCTAGTATCTGCACAGGGGGTGGGGCCATAGCCTGGAGGGGAGTGTAGTCGGGTGAGTGGGGGTTCTATGAGCCACACACAAAGCCTTGTGCTGAGACACTGCATTCCTGCTGGCTGGGCTTCCTGTTTCCAGATGCATTCCTGCCCCAGAGTCACCACGGAGACTGCTTGGAATCTGGCCCCACATTCTCCAAATTCAGAGCAAGATCTGGCAAAGGCACCCTCCCTTTACCTCCCCACTCTCACGTTGGAGGAAGGAAGCCACCTGGCCTGTGTGGGGTGTGGCACAGCTGGGGAATTTGATGCCTGCGCCTTCTTGGATTTGCAGAAGGCAGTTCTGCCAGGTCCAGCATCCTCAGTTTCCCTAGTATTTGGAGAAGAGGGATGGGGTTGGGATATCCAGAAGGATTGGGCCAGGAGGGGGCAGTCCAGCAGACCCATGGCTAGCAGGGGAGGGCCTGGCCTGAACATCAAGGTATTGAGAAATGACAAGTAATGGCGATTCAGGGAACTAGCTGTCATTTTGCATGCTGGGGGATTGCCTGTGGACCTCAGTTTCCTTATAAAATCAGAAAATCTGATCGTTTGTGCCTCTCTGATGAAGGCTCCAGCAGAGGATGTTCAGGATGGGTTCCTGGAAAGAGCAACGAGGGTCCTCTCCTTCCTTGTTACCAGCCACTTTTTACAGTGGCTTGGGCTCCAGCCCCTCCCCCAGAGGCCCAGGTGCAAGTTTGCACGTCCGCCAGCTCCCTTATCTGCCTCCAGGGGATTTGAGTCCTCCTGACGTTTCCCCCCACCCCCAACCCTACACCCTCCCCCAGGTGGGGATGTTTCCTTAGAAGCCACCTGCCTTCATCTGGTCATCAGGCTGTCCCACCCTCAGCAGCTCCTTTTAGGATGGGGGTTGGGAGTGGAATTCCACGGGCCGATAGGAGTGGGGTGGGGACAGGGAAGCGGTCTTCAGGTCTGCTTGCAGGCTGCTCTTCCCCACACCCTGAAGATGCATCCATCCCCAGCTCCCGGGCACTCAGATGAGAAAGAGGTACAGGGCCGGGCAGGGGGTTCAGATGGAGCCCAGGACACAGCGCTCTGCAGCTGCTGTGAAGGGTTTCCCGGGGCGCCGGAACCATTTCCCCTTCTTGGCGCCAGAACTCTGACAGGCTGAGAGACCTGTCCCCAAGTCGCACAGCTGGGAGTGCCAGGACGCCGGGCCCCGGTCAGCGCTCTTCCGTCTGCCAGCACGTGGGGCTCCATTTCCTTTCCGGCTCCTGTCCAGTGCTCCCCCCGCACCCCAGTCTGGGGCCGGAAGACAGAGCCCGCGTGTGGACCGGGGGCGGCGACCCCTGGCTGCGAGCCAGCCAGCGTCCTCGGGCGGGGCCGCGCCCCTCGAGGGACAGCGGCTCAGGGCCCTTGCCTTGGCCTCCGCCAGGATTGGGGGCGCGCAGTGGAGACACGGGGTGCTGGCCAGCCGCTTTCCAAAGGGCCAGCACTCCTCACGGCGCCGCGGCCGCCCTCGCACCTGCTCGTCCCGCCCAGGCCCGCCCCCTGCGGGGAGTGTCCGGCGGCCGCGCCCAGCTGGGTGGGGACGCGCGGGCTGAGCCGACCGATCGCGGTCGGGGACGCGCGGGGGACGCTCGGGTGGCTGCTCCGGCTGCAGCCCGGGCGCCGCGTCGGGCGGGGAGCGCGCCATGCTGGGCCGGCGGCGCGTCTTCGCGGTGGAGCCGCTCGGCCGGGGTGAGTCGCCCACCCAGGGGTCGCGGGGCCTCCTGCCCTGGTGCCGCCACCCACGCTCCGGTCGGGCCCCCAAGGGCAGCGCCCACCCGGCTGCACCCCACTCGCCACTCACTTTTGAGGAGACGCTCGGGCGTCTGGGTCAACCAGCCACCACTTCCATCCCACCCACTTCCTCTGGGTCCATTTCCCTCTTTATTCCGCTCCTGGAGCCTTCTCCCACTCTGCGGAGGATGTCTGCTGGGTCCCCTGCCCCAGCCAGCAGTTCCAAAAAGACCCTCTGTGGCTGCGAACCCCTCTCCAGAGGAGCAGTGCAGAGGTGGACTCCTGGCCCAGAGGGGCCGGGGTTGACGTCCAGCTCCGTCTAGGCAACCACAGGTTCTGCCCCCTTCCTACAGGGCGCCCAGATCCTAGAGGGCCTGGCCAGAGGTGACAATAAATGGATGCTAGTTTTCTTTCTTTCTCTTTTCTTTTAAGCGTTTCACAAAAAGGTAACTATTTCTCGCCTAAAAGAACAAAAGTCCCAAATGGTTAGAGCTGCTGTTATATTTATTGCTTTTCCACAAGAGCTCCTCAAGAGACTTCATCTTGCATCTTGTGCCTGATGCGGCAGGGGCTTCAGAGAGCAGCGTGAACTCTAGACTTCACTCTTTGTGCCCTTTGCCTTCCCTGAGGCGGGCCACTGACTGTTCCCTCCTGTGGCTCCTACCTTAGGGACTTGGAGGTATTAGGTACCCCCTTTGGGGGCGGGGGAGACAAGAGATAGGCCATCTTAGGAGCTGACCCGGCATGATCTGAAAGGGCTTTGCCTACCACATGGCCCAAAGTATGGGTTCCTGGTTGCTGATAATTATTGTAGAGGGAACCCCATCCCAACATCTCCCAGGCAGAGTGCCTCATGTGTCTCAAAATGGTTAGGCTGTGACTTCCCTTGTCTTCCCTTCACCACTGGTCCAGGACACTCCGCCCCAGGAGAATGCTGTGGGTTGCTAGGAATGCTGGGGGTGTTGAGGGCAGCCTACCAGACCTGATACTGAGTCTTCTGCAGATGGGGCTGGGAAGGACCTGGCATGCAGCTGTGTAGTGCCTGGAGTCACCAGTACCTACAGACGGATCCCGGATGCAGCTCATGGTTGCCCATCAGATACCCGGAAGGAAGAGGTTGAACTGAGAAATCTCAGAAGGCAAGTGCCACTTCTGAAACTGGCCTCCCGGGACTCAGGTGTAGAGATGGTGGTTGGGGACAGCCCCCTGGCTACCTTATCAGAACTTTCACAGGACTCTCTGAACCTTGAGCCCATGGGGAGCCCTGAGCACCTGGCCCTTGATGCCACAGAGCCCCCTGCCCAGCTGGGCCGGCTGCTGGCCAACCACAAGCTGGAGCAGGTGCTGGAGCGGTCCCGCCAGCTCCCCAGTGTGTCTGGAGACCATGGTTCCTTGAGCAAGCCGAAGTGTGGAGTGTCCCTTTTTGGAGCAGGAGAGCAAGAGACCACTGAGGCCGAAACTAAGCTAGAGGCAGGCCTGGAAGCAGAGGTGGTGAGTATCGACCTTGGGCTGGGTGAACAGTGGGGTGGAGACAACCCTGTCAAGTGGAACTTGCAGGGCCCCCCACCCCCCTCTGGTTTTCCCTGGAGTTATCCCAGGGTGGGGCATTCTAAACGCCCCTAATTGATGGTTGTGTCATTGCTTCTTGTCTCACCCCACCCCCAGCTGTGTGTAGCCACCCCTGCAGAGGAGGTGGGCAGGTTTGGGTACCATGGGAGAAGCCAGTTTGGGTGTTGGTTCCTCTTTGTCCATTTGCTGGCTGAGCCCAGCCTGACTGCCCAGAGTGGGAGGCTCATTAAGTCTGAGAGTCTCCCCTACCTTGCTGTGTCCCACAGGTGCAGGGTGTAGATCCTGGATCTTGGGCCTGCCTCCCGGGGCAGGGTCTTCGATACCTAGAACACCTGTGCCTCGTGCTAGAGCAGATGGCGAGGCTCCAGCAACTCTACCTGCAGCTGCAGACCCAGAGACCCCTCGGGGTGAGTGAGCTGTGGGCAGGGTGGCCAGGCCTTGAGTCTGGGAGACTGAGTAGGGATAGGACCCCCTGGAACCATGACTGCTCTGAAAACAGCTTCGCCTTCTGATTAGGCCCTGACTGCCCATCTCTCCCATCCCAGAGTCTTGAAGAGGAGGAGTCAGCCCTGGTCCCTTTACCTTCACCTTCACCTACCCCAGTTAATGGGGTACAGGGGACAGGGGAGCTGCTAAGCCGGACAAAGGAGACAGGTGAAGGGGAATTGTGTTTCTCTCTTGTCCTGCCTGCTTCGTGTCCCTGCTCATGATCCCACCAGCAGACCCCCTGAACCTTAGATTGTTGGAGTGGCTTCCTGTTTCTGGCCCTGGGTAACCTGATTATATTTCTGAAGGGGCAGACGCAGCTTTATCCCAAAAGGTGGGAGTGCTCAGCATCAACCCTCCCAGGCTGACAGAGGCCCCAGTGGAACCAACTCACAGTTTTCTACTCTCCCAGGAACACAAGGTAGTGATGGATATAAGTGGGGCAGGTGGTGGGATGGAGTGGGTGAACTGGGAGATGGTGGGAATGGGTAGGCACCCAAAAGGCCAGAAACTTTGGGAAAATAACAAGATTCCTATGGAACAGGTGACTTGTCCTGCTCCAAGGAAAAGTTGGGATATATATGTGGGGAGGAGCTCTGTGGTTACCCCTTTCCCCTCAGCAGGATCTCTCCCACTGGGACAAGGTCAAGGTTCTCCTCAATCGGATCCGCTGGAGGAGCTCCCAACATCCTGAGCCCCCTGCCCCTCCTAATGGTTCTGACCCTAGGTGAGTCCTGTGCCCAATCTGGTTTAGGGGAGGGGGAGGATACTGATGAACCAGGATGTTGAGATTGTCTTTCTAGTTGTAATTTTTGTTCCTATGAAATTTGAGAGACATGGTGTCAAAGGAGTTTCTGGAATAAATAAAAGATAGTTAAAATGCCCCATTTATAGATGAGGAGATTGAAGACTGAGTGGGGTTGAGGGCAGTCATTTTTCCAAAGTTTCAGGGTGAGTCAGTGATAGAACCAGGAGCAGATTATGGAAAATATCCTCACCCAGCCCAGCAAGCCTTCACTCCTTAAAACGGAAGTTTAGGCGAGGGAGGTGGCCCAACTAGGGGGAGAGCAAGATGGAAGCTCCAGCAAAGGACTCACTTTGGGTGAGGTCCTTCATACTTGGGGATTTATCTGACTAATTCTCCAGGGGGAAGAAAGCACCAATTTAACATCTCTGGGTTCCCTACAATAGCTAAATAGTGATCTATTGACATTGGGACCATTGTTTTCTCCTAGCTTGTCTCCTTTTCTTTTCCATAGGATTGAGACCAGGGACCTCTCTGAAAGGCCTCAGTATCACCCCCACCGGAAGACCTTTATGCCATCATTAATGGTTAAGAAGCGACGAGGAAAAAACCTTTCTGTATAATGAGACCTCTTTGTGCATGGTGACTCTGAGTGGAGGGGATTTGCTGTGAAGTCTTCCTCACTCTGCATTGCCAGGGAGAGCTGTTGACTTGCCCTTCTCCAAGGCGAGGGCTGAGTCTGTATCTTCTGAGCAGCCTGGCAGAGGAACCCTGGTTCCTTGAGAGGCTCCAAGGTGCAGCACCTCCAGGGTTCCTTATCCCTGCCAGAAATCCCTCTGCTTAGACAATGTGAACTAACTTATTTATCAGATGTTCAAGGAGCATATTTGGCACAGTGATATCTGGACCCAGCATGGTGCAGATGTGTTTATGCATAACAATATGTACTTCTTTGTGGGACTATCAGTATTGTGAACTGGCTGGATTCAACCATCCCTACTGGAATCATATATCCAAAGCTTTCAGAGCGAGATAATTGTGGAAGGATGAAGTTGACCTTTCTTCTATAGTGGTCAGTTACTGAACTGGATTCCTGCTTTCCTCTTCATACCTGAATTGGCAGCTCTAGAACAGAGAAAGGCATTGTCCTGGCTGCCTCTGTATTGAGTCTTGCCCATTGGGCACAGCCCTTGAAGACCACATGAGGAATTAGGAGGCTCAGGACAACGTGCAGATCGGCAGAATAACCTTCAACGTCAATTCTCAGTTGCTCTGCTCCATATTAGCTTTTACCTGTCAGAGCTGAAACCAGAAGTCCATACTAGCTTTTAGACCTTGACAAAGTCTATTAACTTCTGAGCCACAACTTCCCATTTGGGTTAATGATGCCTGCTCTGCCTACCTCACAAGCTTGTTAAGAGGATAAAGTGAGATTAAACTGTCTCAAAGAGTACTGTGAATGTTAAGTGAATAAAGGGGAGGGGTATGGGTGCTGAGAGAGGCTGGAGTGGAGGGATAACGGGAGGACAGAGGTTGGGGGGGGACTGGGGGGGAATGGAATTGTTAATGGGGACTAGAATGGCCATTTTCCTGGCAAGATTTTGAGCAAATAATTTTAATGGTCTGTCAGATTTCATATGTAAAAATTAGGGCAGATTCCTGATCTCTTCACTTCCCAAGGTTATTATGGGAGTGTAGCCAGTGGAAGGGCAGGGATAGGGATGGGGCTTATTGGCTTGAGTAATAAGAATGTATCCTGTAAATGGCCACTGTCCAGGCAGACATCTTCTCCAGTGAAATGGACTGGTTCTCTTGCTACTGCCATTTGGGGGCTGCCAGAGTGAGGCTTGTGTGCGGGTGGTGTGTTGGGTCAGGGGAGCGTCCAGCTCCAGCTGCCTTTGGATTAGGAACCAATGCTCTGAAGCCTATTTTTCTAATGGGACATTTTAAACAAGGACACCACGAGGCGCGGCTTCCGAACGCGCATCCTATCCGAGGAGGCGCACTTCCGTTCCACAGTTGCAGCGGGATGGCAGGCGAACGTGGGGGAAGGGAGAGGTCGGTGGAGACGAGGGAGGGACCATATCCGGGAGAGTGGCAGCTTCCGACCAGTGGTCGCTCTTCCGGAGAGGCGCTTCCGGTGGCGGCGGCAGCAGTGGCTGTGGTGGTTCCGGGTGCCTTTGTCCCCCCGGTGTCGCGGCCCTGGCCCGCAGGTGGGTTGGGGGACCACCCACTGCCCCTCTGCCCTTTCGCCTCTCCTCAAGCGGAGGAGTTGCGGTGGCCCGGCGGCGAAGATGCACTGGACGCGGAAGGGGCTGAGTCCCCTCCGGACTGCAAACCCCGTCTCCCTGGCAACAGCCTCGGCCCTGGGGGCGGGCGGGAGGAGGAGAAACCGCGCGCCTTCGTCCTCCCACGGTGGCCTCTCCGCGGTCAGGCCCAGGAGGCCGTGCGCTGTTGGCTGCTGAGGCCAGAGCAAAGGACCACGGAGCCCGGGAGCAGGAAAGCGGCGTTCAGGCCGATTCGCGTTGGGCCGCTGGGAGAGCTCCCTTCACGCCAGCGGGTCGGGGGAACAACGGGCTAGGCTTCCGGGGAGAGGGCCCGTACCACCTCGCGGGCACCGGCCGCCTCCATTTTTCCGGGTCCTGCGTGGAGCGTTTTGGCATGTTTTTGAATGAATGAATGTCATCGGAGCTCTTCCCAGCCTCCTACTCCGTCCGCCTCTTAGGGGGTTGCATGGCATAGTGAGAAGAGTGCTAAGTTGTTGGGAGACCTGGGTGAGAGTCCCGGTTTTGTGGCCTGGGCCAAGTCCTCTGATCTCTCTGAGCTCCAGTTTCCTTTTCTGTAAAACAGCATGTCAGTATCACGCAACCACTAGGTTACTGTGAGGGCAGAACGGAATAATGTAATTTCTTATTTCATTTCCTGCTCTTCATGGTCTCCAACAAATTTTTCCATTCTCAGTACCCATCTCTTCACCTTTCTTAAGGTTCTTACTTCTTTAAGATTTTCCACTTGTCTGGGGATAGACAGAAATCTTTCATGTGAGCATTTAACTTCTTTTTTTCTGATTGAAGGTTTTTCCCCAAGACTCTGAAAGAGGACAGCATTCCCAATGTCCCAGTTTAAGCGCCAGCGGATCAACCCACTTCCAGGGGGACGCAACTTCTCAGGTGATCACTCTTGTCCCTACCTGACCTCCTAGTAGGATGTGCTCTGCAGTTAGTTTACAAAACTCTGGCTCTTGGGATTTCCCAGGTGTGAAGCAACTAGCTATTAATGTTTCTTAGGAAATGAGATGACCACAGTGGTTGCCAGTGAAACCCTCAGGAGGAGCTGGTTGGAGCTACTTTGCTCTCCTTTACCCATATCTTCTAGTTGTCTCTAATGCTTAACGTGGTAGGTGCGGTTCCTGGAGGTTGCTTCTCTGTCCCTGTAGGCGCGGCTTCAACATCTCTTTTGGGCCCTCCTCCTGGTTTGCTTACTCCTCCTGTGGCCACAGACCTGTCCCAAAGTGCCAGGCACCTTCAGGTAGGTTGGGCATCCTTTCTAATGAGTTTCAGCCCTTGGGACTACCCCAGCATGGGGATGCCTGATATTCTTTCATTTCTTATATTGTAATGGTCAGCATTTCTGACTCTTGTCTTGGTAGTGGGCTGTATGGGGTGACTAGATACCCCTCAGACTGGGGAGTCAGTTTCTGAGTCCAGGGAAATCTTGGGATTAAAGAGCTGGAAGTCCTAGAAGCAGTTTGTAACCCATCTTTCCTCACCATAGAAAGTTTATGTCTGCTCTATGTTTGCTTCCATATGAATCTCCATGCTGAGCTGGGGTGTGGATAGAGGGGAGACCCTAGTGGCAGAGCATAATTTTATTCAGGTTGCTTCCTATTAATTTTAACCTGCCCTCTTCTCTTGCAGAGTGGAGAAAAGCAGCGGGTTTTCACTGGCATTGTTACCAGTTTGCATGACTACTTTGGGGTGGTGGATGAAGAGGTCTTTTTTCAGCTAAGGTAGGCTTGAGGCTAGTCTCTTGCTGAATTGCTTATGGATTCAGTTATGTCACCATGCTGGTGGGGCCCCTCTCTAAAGCCATTGCACTGTTGTTTTAAGCCATTGCTTTTGTTTTAAAGTAAGAACTCTTGATGGAATGGGCTACATGGGGGCAGGTAGGGTGGCTGGACCAGGTTCTCTCTGTGTTGGCAGTGTGGTAAAAGGCCGGCTGCCCCAACTGGGTGAGAAGGTGCTGGTGAAGGCTGCATACAACCCAGGCCAGGCAGTGCCCTGGAATGCTGTCAAGGTGCAAACGCTCTCCAACCAGGTATTCATCTCTCTTCAGCATTTGCACTGTAAAGGGGAGTGGGAAAGGAAGGGAGGGGTTTGGGGGAAGGGGAAGTGGCAGAGGGGAGGGAGAGAAGCCTCTGTGCCCAGTTACCTGGGCAGAAACCTTACTTTTGTCGAGGGGGGGGGTGGGACTGTATCTTTCCAAGGTAGTGAACGCTTCAACTCTGGGATCCCCTCAATTTCCTGGCAACTGTCCTGCAGCCCCTGCTGAAGTCCCCAGCACCTCCTCTTCTGCATGTGGCAGCCCTGGGCCAGAAGCAAGGGATCCTGGGAGCTCAGCCTCAGTTGATCTTTCAGCCTCACCGGATTCCCCCGCTCTTTCCTCAGAAGCGTGAGTATCAGAGACACAAATATTGGGGTATGGCTGTTTGGGGTGCTCTGGATGAATGGACTTGTAACTTTCAGACTGCTGCTCTCAGAATAAAAATGGGTGCTTTTGTGCATTGGAAGAAAGGGAGGGGAAAACTAGACAGTTTTTAAGTCACTGGCCATTTTCTATCTATAGCTCTGAGTCTCTTCCAAACATCCCACACACTTCACCTGAGCCACCTGAACAGATTTCCTGCTCGGGGCCCTCATGGACGACTGGATCAGGGCCGAAGGTAAGATGACTATCAGGACAAATATTTCATTATATTTCTGATAGGAGCAATATCCCCCCCCCCTTTTTTTTTTGCCAACTGTTGATACTAAATTCTTTCTGCAGCTGGGTCCTAGTCCTTTTTCTCTTAAATAGGCAGATACAAGGAGATTTATATGTACATATAAATTGTGGGACTTTATATACAGAGTTAGCAAACCAGGGATTTGATATGTTCTTTTTTCCTTTTTTTTTTAGCTTCTAATATTCTTTTTATTTCCTACATTTAATTTTTTTTTTTTGGTTACAGATGGACACAATACCTTTATTTTATTATTTTATTTATTTATTTTTATGTGGTACTAAGGATCAAACCCAGTACCTCACACATGCCATGCAAGTGCTCTACCACTGAGCCACAACTCCAGCCCTCACATATTTTCTGTTGGTGCCTCATAGTGCATATTGATGAGATTTGTTATTATGCATTACAGTGATGGAATTTGTTACTTATTTGTACATGCACACAATATAAGTAATTTTTGAAATGTCACGTTGAAATACTTTTTTCTTTTTTGATAATGGGGATTGAACCCAGGAGTTTCTACCTCTGAGTCCCAGTCCTCTCTGTACCCCCTCTTTCTGAATTTTATTTTGAGACAGAGTCATACAGAATTACCCAAGATAGTTTGAGATCCTTCTGCCTCAGCCTCCCGAGCACCTGGGATTACAGCTTGTGCCACTGTGCCCGGCTTGAAATAGTTCTTAAATATATAATTTTTCTTTTATTTCTAGTTCCCATAATTGAGATATTAGGGATTGTTTCAAGAAAATAATAACATGTCCAAAAAAGTAACATTGCAGTGTATATTTTAATTTGTACTTTAAAACATATGCTTTTTTTATGCACGACACTTAGGTGAGTGTGGTGTTGCACTGTCAGGTTGCATTCTGCATGTGAGTGGACATGCGGACAGACAGTTTTCTTGGTCATGTGGGAATCAAGCATGGTTGATTGGGGTCCTTGGAGCTTCCTAGTGATTGTTATCTGTGAGCTTTAGGGAGTATACCAGCCGTGTGATGTCTCTCCCCTCTTTGGTTCACATGCTCCTAATCTTAATCTCCCTGAGAGTTTTTCTTAACTTTTTTTTTTGATAATTTTTTTTTTTAGTTGTAGATGGACACAATACCTTCACTTATTTTTATATGGTGCTGTGGATTGAACTCAGTGCCTCACATGTGCCAGGCAAGCGCTCTACCACTGAACTACAACCCCAGGCCTTAATTTTTTAATAACAGAAAATTTCAGTGTATGCAAAGCAAATGGAAAGATATGAATTCTAATATATCTGTTATCCCACTTCAAATATCAGCATCTGCCCTTATCCTTACTTCTCCCTTCATCTAGCTGTTTCATCCTACTTGATTCGGGTGTTTTTTTTGGGGTGGGGAGGTGGTTACTGGAAATTTCTTTTTTTAAGAGAGAGGAGGGCGGGGGAGAGAGAGAGAGAGAATTTATTTATTTATCTTAGT